GTTATTTGAAGGGATGTCCGGGTCAGGGCATTTTTCTGTCAGCAGAGAGTAGTCTTCAACTCACAGGATGGTGTGATTCGGACTGGGCAGCATGTCCTTTGACAAGGCGGTCATTGACAGGGTGGTTCGTGCAGCTTGGAGACTCGCCTGTCTCATGGAAAACAAAGAAGCAGTCGACGGTGGCTCGCTCGTCTGCTGAAGCGGAGTATAGAGCTTTGGCTGTCCTTACATGTGAGTTGAAGTGGTTGAAGAATGTATTGCGGTGTTTAGGGGTTGAGCATAAGAACCCCATGACGGTCCGGTGTGACAGCACGGCAGCTCTTCACATTGCTGCTAATCCGGTTTTCCACGAACGCACGAAGCACATTGAGATTGATTGTCACTTCGTTCGTGATGAACTCTTGCGAGGAGAGATTCATACACTTCATGTGCCTACTACGCATCAGCTTGCAGACATTCATACCAAGGCACTCGGAAAGTCCCGTTTGGAGTTTCTTCTTCCCAAGTTGGGCATTTCGTTACTACATGCTCCAACTTGAGGGGGGGTGTTAAAGGAAAGAGAATATTTGGTAGAATATTGGGAGATATTTGTGTATATATTGTTTTGGTAGTTTTCCTTGTATAGAGATTCTTTCCTTTTCCTTTTCCTTTACTGATTAGGAGTCTCAACTTGTGAGATCCTATATATATGTCCTTATTGTAAATTGTAGAGACAAGAGAGTAATTCAGAAAATTTCCTCCAAAATAATTCTTTCAGTAGTTCTCCTTTTTTTTCCTTCTGAAATCTAATCAAAATATTAATTTGTTAAAGGCCTTGTCTGAGAACAACATTTTGGATTAGCGTTAGTGTTTCAGATAAAATTTTAATAGTGAAGATTAATTTTGAAAACGCTAATGCTAAAGGCTATCGTCACATAACCTATTCAAAATGCTAAGACTAGTCTCTAAGGATGAAGTCAAACGGGGCCAAAGGTTATAAAATCAAAGTGAAAATTTATTTTTGGAGGGTGAGAAGGGGCATGTCTTTATGAGGAAACATAACTACCATATGATGGAGAGGGTGATGCACATTGCTTGTCCAAAGAGAAGAAAAAGATGTCAATTATAGCAATCGGTTTCTCTTGAAAAGGATGGCATATTTGCAAACTACAAACCAACCATCATGTCATGTGATTTTACATACTCCCCATCTCTCTATCTAACTAATCTTTTCATTTTGTCTCAAAAAATTGTTGCGTTTCTTTCCTTTTTAATAAGAAAAATAATATGGGATCCACAATTTTATCTCTTTTTTCTGAATAAATTTTACCTACTCACATTATACTTTTCAATACATTTTTAAAGTCCGTGATGTGAAATTGTGTCAATTAATTTAGAACGGGGAAGAGTGTATCTAATCTAGGAAAATGCTGGAGTGCCACCACATGGGTGCACTCATGGTAGCACTCATGTGGTGGCACCCTAGCATGGTCCATCTAATCTATTATCTAACCACGCATTTAGGCGTTGCTGTCACATTTGGTGGCACCTAAATGTTTTATCAGAATTCCGGGTCAGACCCGGGTGTTAAAACGGGTCGGTGAGAACAGGTGAGCATGCCTGCACACGTGTGAATAGTGCCAAAGTGCATGACATTTAGCTTTGTGGCCATTTTAGATGATTGTGATGTTTGAAAGATACTCCATCCGTCCCTAAATATTTGTCACATTTGTATTTCCGAGACAAAATGTCAAGTTTTTTCAATTCATTTTATTTACATGTTGGTATAGAAATAAAAAATAAAATTTACATATCAAAAAACTACATGAAAAGCTCTTCAAAATAAGAAGTGTCAAGAATATTTTATTTTATCAAACAACCAATAAAACGTAGAAATAAATAAAAGTTCCCGCGGCTGTCGAAAAAGCAAACGTTGCAAATAATTTGGGACGGAGAGAGTATATATATATATTGATGGGAGATACAATCAATGATGCCATTGCCTCAAATTTGAGGTTTTAAGGCAATTAATGGAAGAAAAATGAAGCTTTCAAAAAAAAGGGGAAGAAAAATGAATGAAAGATCACTTGGTTGAGGTAAATGATGCTTGGATATGATAATCACATTAATTTGCAATTTATTATGCAAGTGTTAATCCTTTTCACTATTTGTCCTCAAGTTAAGGTGGTTTTGTCAAAATCAACATTAATCTAATCTCACATTAGTCAACCGATAAGTGAGATTTCAATGCACCCTATATATTTCTTTCGTTCCGTAAAATTTTTTAACTCATACGGAGTACATCTTACTTGTCGCATAAAATATTTTAATTTGGTCTAATAGACACAATTGTCTTTACTTTTCTTAAATCTAATCGAACCTATCTCAATCTACCTTCTACGCTCTACACATTTTGACATTTCCAGAGCCCTAGTCGTTATAATGGTTGTCGTTTTAACTTAGTCAAACTAAAATATTTTACCCCATAAAGTACAAAGTAGTGCTACCTTACCTTTATTTGTGAAACTAGGAGACTCTAACTCCAATGGTGAGGTGACTCTAAGACCTCTAAATGACTATAATACCCCCCCTTGATTTTCCCGTGGGGAAAGCTCTTCTATATCCCGTTTCAAGATTTCTATATCAAATCGAGTATGATTTGATGATGAATGCGGGTCCCACACTGGTTATAAATGGTGAATCGAAAGGAAAAGAAAGAAAAAAAGAGAGAGGAAATTGGTGAAGGAATTACATACCTTACAGCCGAGAGAACAAAAACGAAAAGTGTCCAAAAGGCTTCTGGTGCAGATCTCACAGACGTTGGAGACGGCTGCCTTCCCACTGTTCTTAGGCTGTGGGCGCTCGTTGAGGAATAAAACCTTGGCGCTGTTTATCACATACGTCTGCACCCCACTTATGTCCAACACCCTCTGTATCTCCGATACCCTCACCACATCATGGTATGACGACCTCCTTATCTGTTCTCCATCAATTCAGTTTCTTTTTTTCATTAATTAAAAAAAGATTGCATTTTTATTTCTCTTTGTTTTTAATCAAAGAAATCTAGATTTTTTTTATAAAAAAAAAAAAAGAAAAGAACTAATAGTGATGGGCGAAAATAAGATGAGATATAACATCATACCTAACCCAAAGTTTCGTTTTTATTGACAAAATGCAAAGAATCGAGAGGAAAAAAAGTGGGATTTGGGAGGATCTCAAAGTTTAGAAAGATCTCATGTTACAATGCTGGCTTTTGGGTGCATAAATAATCGAATAATTTGCAATAATGGCATTGTTAGTTCTGCTTTAGAGTCTTGTTTATCAAAAGAAGAGAAGAGAAGAGGAGAGAAATTGACCTGAATGACTTGATGGTCTTTGTGGCGGGAGGAGCGGCAGTAGAAGCAGAAGGCGTCGCCGCCGCAGTCGAGGCAGAACATGTTGCATTCGCTCCGGGCGCCGTCGCCGTGGGTCCGGCAGACGGAGAAGAACGCCGTGTTCAGCAGCGGCTCTAGCCACACGGGGACCAACATTGCGCCCTGTTTGGCAGAAGATAAAAATTGAAAAAGAAAACAGACAACAATGCCGCAATAAGTTCAAGAAAATCGAAGCCCAGGAAAGATAATCGGAAAAAGATTGCAACTTTGGTCGGCATTGTTACCATTGTAGCCGATTTGACCTCGAAATAGTGCCAAGATTGAAGGGGGGAAAAGATGGTGTTTTCTTTTTTTCTTTCTTTTTTTGAGGAGTGGGGAGGAGGGAAAGAAGCTAGAGAGACAGAAAGAGGGGTTTGGGTTTGGGTTGGGGGGAGGCCTAACCTAAACAAACAAAGAAACAAACAACCAAACAAACAAACAGCAACTTAGAATTTAACAAGAAAACCTTTTCAGCATCGGATTAGTAAATAATGCCTGATTGGACGGCTGAGATTGAAGGGGGGATGGGCCTGGTGGCCGTTGGATTGGGTTGGCTCTTACGCTACTTGGGGATCTTCTTTGCGTCTCTCTGTAGGCCAAAGGTCGGCCGCTTCTCTACGTTTGAGAGCTTATATTATTTGTATTGTCACGAAACGGCACCGTGTTTGGGGCTTTATTTTTTTATTTTTTTGGGTGTGTGTATCTTTCATACGTGTCTGGGAATTAATTGCTGCCGTATGGGACCCGCTACATGCTTTCTTGTTGCTTGTGTGAGGCCCCCAATTCTGCCTAATCCAAACATGCCCTTCCCTCTCTTTCTTATTATTGCCATTTTGTTTATGGGGTTCGGTTCCGTTGACACTGCTTATTTGAAATATTTATTACGTTTTGTTAGACAATTAATAATTTCTTGTACGGATAATAATTTTGACTCTATTTGATAACGATATTAGATATTGTAGCCAGTGTTTTAAAAAAACTATGTACAAATGATAACTTTTGGTTATATCATTTTCAAAGTTATTCTATACTATTAAAAATTAATCTGAAATGCTAATGTTAATTAAAATACATTGTTCCCAAACATCTTTGTTTTTTTAGAATTCTAAGCATGCGAAGAAGATTTCCCAATTTATAGTTACTCCATGTAATTATTCACACAACAATTACTCTCTGCAAGCAAATTTACTTTTAATATTATTCTTTACATGATACCTGATGGGTGTATTCCACCCAAAATCGGTCAAAGAAGATGTTCAAATATTCAACCGGACAAGGTTGATTTTTCAGGATGGGAAACCTAAATCGTCAATAAAAGGGATGCTTGGTTGACCAAAAAAGTTGACCGGTATACTTCGGATTGTATACCGGTCAAACTACTTTATTCCCCCAGTCATCCCCAATTTCAATAAAACATCCCTCAAAAGTAACCTGGTATGATTTCTAGGGTTGGGAAGTGTCAGCTGAGAAGAATCCAAAGGAGCTTGGACTGTAGCGACCATGTTCAACGAAGAATCGTTGGAGATACTTGGACACTACATCCAAAGCACTACGTGACAAGGAAGCCACCTTCCTCACTAGGCGACAAGACCGCTAGAGGACAAAGGTAGTCACCTCGTACCACCCAGGAACGTGCCCTGACGTGGATGAGCGGCGCCTTGTCTCCCTTAGCTACTATAAATACTGTTGTAACCCTCAAAGGAAGGGATCAGATTTCTTCTCTCTAAAACTCCCGTGTAAAAGCTCACGTGCACTCTACTATATTCGAAATATTAATTGAGCTACAAGTGTTTTCACCTGCAATCCTCCCGGTCACTTTGAGTATTTTTACCATTTAGTTTCCCGAATCAAGCAAACAATCCTAGACCGCCCTAGTACTGTTTACCTGGTCAGGTAATTTACACAATCAATACCGAAATCTTAAAATTGTTTTTCACTAACATGCACATTATCTTCTAATTAAGGTTTAGTTTTAATCTCAGATAAATTTGAGACCCCCAATTCCGCCTAAACTAAACATATCCTTCACAACTTCACTTGGACAATGCTAAAGGTATATCAAAATGAGATATCTCATTTGTACACCATGTAAAAAACAAACATACACCAACAATCAATCTCTGTGCGTGCACAGATTTAGAGTGTTTGTGTGTGTCTGTTTTTGCTTGTTTACAAATAGGGTACTCGATTTGGTGTACCCCCAACATTATTGCATTTCCATTCATACTTATTGCCATTTTCTTTATGCGATTCGGTTTGGTCCATACTGCGGTATGGTGATATCGGTTGACACTGTTCATTTGAAAAACAAATACCCGAGTAACTTCTTATAAAAAGTACTATCCATGTCCCTAGGTACTTGTCCAGTTTTTATTTTTTGCTAGTTAATTGTTTTCAACCTTTGACCTATAATTAAATAAAATAAAAATTATACCCTAATTAGATAATATAATATTTTATAAAATGAATTATATATGTGTGTGTGTGTAATACTGCGTATATATTTAAAAAATACTCCGTAAAATAGAGTAAATTCCATAAATGATCCATAGTTATACATGGTTTTTCATATTTAGTCTCCAATTCCATGATATTACATAAATGGTCCTTACTTTTTGGAAACTATTCCACAATGGGTCTTTGAGGGGACTATATTTAGAAAAAAATACTTTGTCATATTTGGTCTAAAGGACAATTTGTGGAATAGTTTTCAAAAATTGAGAACTATTTATGTAATATATTAGAATTGAGGACTAAATATAGAAAATCACTTGTAATTGGGGATAATTTATGAAATTTACTCAATAAAATAAAACTGTAAATTTGTTCATACTCCGTATAGTTTAATGTGTTAGAATTAAGAGCACTCGGTATACCTGTAACGCCAATCGGCGTTATGCCGGTTTTCACGCCCAGGGTGCGTTAAACACCGCCCCCCTGCGGCTTCATCCCGGCGTGTTGCTCTCCGCGTCATTGTTTTGACGCAGCCTTCCCCTCCCCCTAACGGCTAATTTAGCTGTTGAAACCCAAAAAAATTAATTATTTTTTTTATAAATTTCAAACCCCTCCTCCCATTCTCACACCTTCAATCTTCTTCAATCTTCTTCACACATTCTTCAATTTCAAACTCCCCCTCTCTTTTGAACATGAATCCTTCCGGCTCCGGCTTCTTTCCCCGACAATCTCGAGCCTCACAAGTCCGCGATGTGGTATTTCCAAGAATACGGGAATCATCTGCCGATGTTCGAGACGCAACAATCGGGGTACGTCGAGCGAGATTCGGTTCCGGAGACTCAACCGGGACCATCCGACTCCAAAAAAAGTATACGCTGGAAAAGCCACAAAACAAAAGGCATGATGACCGAGGCGGCACGGTCAATCCAAAAGTGGACGCCAGAGGAAGAGTGCCTATTAGCGTGGGCTTGGGTTGACGTCTCCGAGCATCCTATCGTTGGTAAAAATTATATGTTTTTTAATATATTTATGTTTTTATTTATATAAAATTATATTTAATCGTGTCATAAAAAAAATTTCGTGTTATACTTTTTTAAAGGTTCGGAGCAAACGAAGGATGCGATGTGTGATCGTATCGAGGAGAAGTTCTTCACGGCGATGAACAAGGACAGCTCCTACCGTACCCGGGACCAACTCACTTCCAAATGGAGCCAGCGGTATCAACAGAAAGTCATATTGATCAATTAAAAAAGAATTAAAATTATCATCATTTAGATTTCGGACATTGATTCTAGTTAAAGTTAAGAATAAGAAAATAGGGGTAAACGTTTTTAGGAACAGAAAAAACGTAAAAAGATCAAATTGAGGTTTTAGCCAAATCCCAATTGTGAATGTAAACGTAATTAGAGGTAGGTAATGGTGTGTTGTTGGTGTTAGTAGAAACTCTGGTTTAGCTATAGGTTCATGTTACCACACATGCCATGCCAAATCATTATCACACACCTATTCCTCTATAGGATTGATTTCCCATTGGTCTAATTAAGAGTAAACACCTATTTCAAATAAGATGGATCTAACCCATGTGATGATTCCTTTAACTAGTAGATACTCAGGTGGATTGTTTTTTCTTCTTCTTTAATCCATTGGTTTTTTATTTTATTTTTTGAATGATTTTTGTATTCAGTAATGCTAAACCCCATGGTGAATTAATGTGCAAATATGTGCACATGCACAATCGTGTAGATTATCAAGAATTCAAGTTGTCTATTAATTAGAAGTCTTATATATATATATATATATATATATATATATATATATATATATATATATATATATATATATATATATATATATATATATATATATATATATATATATATATATATAGGTTCTGGTGAGAATGCAATCTTAGGAGAGAAATGAGAATGAATCTGGTGCTTTAGATTGTGAGATCTAAGGGTCAAGATTTCATCAAAATTAGATGCACCAAAATGGTGCGAAAATGCATCACGTTGAAATGCATCATAAACCTTCGAAAATGCATTATCTCAAAATCTGAGCGCAGGATGCAATCTGAGCCGCACGATGCATCAGATCCGACGACTAGATTTTATTCTCATATATATATATATATATATATATATATATATATATATATATATATATATATATATATATATATATATATATATATATATATATATATATATATATATATATACTGTGTGTGTAATGTGGGCAGGTCCAGTGGCGGAAGTTTATATATTTTTTAAAAATAAATAAACAAAAAAAAAGTTTACTTACCAAGCACAAACTTGTAAAAATCACAACAAAAAATGCACTTGAAAATAAATAATGAGCAGGCACTCAATTTTTGTTGTCATTTTTAACTATCAATTTAAAATCGTGTTATTTAATCCTCCCTATGTATTCTTATACAGTTATACCCCTACCACTTTACATCTTTTTGACAAATGGGGAATCCCAAAATACAACCCAACATTTGGTACATGTAAAGAAAACTAGAACACTCTTAAACCAATACTTGAAATAAATCAGCTAAAGTATACTGTAAAACACAACTGAATCAAATGCATGAGACCGGAACACAAACAAGCTCATATGCAAAACACAAATTTAATCTTTAGGTCTGGTCAAAAGTGTAATTCAACACACACCCACAAAAGATTGCATTTCCAATGTTGCTTAGATCAGACCAGCAGTCTTCAAAGCAACCTTGAAGTCTTCGTCGCTTTCCCAGGAGGGGACCTGTGTTGTTCAACATATAACGATGATGAATGAAAACAAAAAACAAAAAAGTATCCAACATATGGAACAAAGAAAGAACAGCAACAAGTTTCCTTAAAGCACTACCACACAAAGGCAATCGAACAATGAAACGAATGAGGTTTTTGTCTAAGGCCCAACACTTCAAGGGCCATTTCTGGGCACATTTTTGTCAATTATTACTCCCTCCGTCCTTAAAACTTTCATCCCGTTTCAGAAAGAAGAAAAACAAAGAGATAGACGAAAAATAGAGGTAAAAGGAAAAGAAACAGTGAAATACCCTAAATCAGAAGGATTGAAAACGTGGGGCAGGGGAGGGGATGTGAGCCAAAAAAATAGATTCCTTCCCCTCTGACATTTTAAAACCAAACAAGGGGAGGGGCTTATTTTCCCTCCTCCTCTTACCTCCAACCAAACAGACCCTAAGTGGGAATGTGGGACCTCATGCCTAGGCAGGTTTAGTTGGGGCCAAAGTATTAAAAAAATTTAGAGGCAAACTGTCAACAGATGCTCCATAGTTTTAAAACAGCACACACAGCTCTTGATAGACCACATGGAAGGGTCACATACTCGCATTAATATGTACTCTGTAAGTCATTAACTCAGGAGCAAAAAAAGATGTACCTCAGCCACTGGACTGTTGAAGTGATTCTCAATCTTTGACATCAGCATTGTGTCGCGATCGTTACAAAGCAAGTTGAACACAGCACCTGTGGCATAATAATGTCAAAGAAGCTCATTCACATATTCATCCTGCCCCGGAGGAGTCGGAGCTAGGTTTGAAGATAAGCACTAGGAAGAGAAAGATCAAAATGGAAATTACCTTTTCGCCCAAAACGGCCTGCTCTACCGATCCTATGCAAGTATACTTCACAATTGGGTTCGGAAGGACGCTCGTACTGCACTGGGAGATCATAATTCACGACCAAATTGACCTAAACACAAATAAAACCAATTGGATGAGGTTATCAGATGTCATGTCAACATCATAAGCCGATTAAGACAATGGTATTGTGGAAAGTGCCTGTGATTGGTCAAATCCCCGGGCAAGAAGATCCGTTGATATAAGAACTTGTGTCAACCCATCCTTGAACTCCTTAATAATTTTGTCCCTGTCTTCATGAGTTAGAGCGCCTTGAATTACCGTTACCTCGTAGCCAAACTCCACTAGAGCTTTATACAACATCCTAGCGCCTTCCCTAGTACGAACAAATATGATTGTCTGTCCCACCTTAGCCCCAAGGTCAAGTATTTTGTCCTTAACCACCATGACCTTTGAAAGTTCATCGGGGCAGTGCACTTTAAACTGCTTCACAGACTCCAGCGAAAGTTCTTCCTTCTTCACAAAAATCTGGTTGTAGCCTTTTACAAACAGATCTTCAACAATTTTCTTAACAAATCCCTTGACAGAGTCATTGAATGTTGCAGAAAAAAGGAGCACCTAGAAGTTTGTGACAATTATATGCCATCATCATACAATTCATATTTTTACTTTGGAAACCACAGCTTTGAGAGTGAATGAGTGGGGTGGGGGTGGGGGGGGCGATGTCAGAAACAATAAAGTGATGCACTATCCATAACAATTCAATCACACCCCGGTTCATGTGACATTGCCCAGGAATGTCTTAGTATGACCCGGGGGTCCTACGGCGCTCCTAACCCCCCAGCCCCGCCTCAACCCGAACCCACCCCCCCACCCCCTTCAATTGCACCCTTTAAGTTTATTTGACTTTTGAGTCAATTTTTTTACTCCAAAGTCAAATAAACTTGGAGGGTGCAATTGAAGGGGGTGGGGACGTGGGTTCGGGTCAGGGCGGGGTGGGGGGGTTTGCCGGGGGAGTTAGGAGGGGTAGGAATTGTCAATTTTATGAACAAAGCACCGCACAATCCCCGGGTCATCCCATGACATTGCCGGGAAATGTCACATGAACCGCCCCCATTCAATCAAGTCATCTTATCAACGTTTGTCTAGTTAATATTCAGTCCCTGCTTGGCAACAATCTTTTTGGATTGCTTTTTGTTTAAAATGGTGTTTGGCAACCAGATTTTAAACAACTTTCTGGTCCAGAAAACTTGGAAACCAACAAACTTGAAACTGAAGCTTTTTGGGATCAACTTTTTTTAATATTACTCTTATTGTTTTGGTCAAAATACCCTACTACCTCAGCATCCTTATATTATCCACTTTGAATTTTCTGATTTTTAAAAACTCTTCTGAAGGATGTTTGATTGTTGAATTACTTGATCTATAGGCAAAATTATGAAAAGAAGACTCAATCAGGCGAAAACAACTATTTTGTGTTGTTGAAAAACATTAATTACTTGATTTCATGTTTATGTTAACTTATTTTAACTTAATTTTATGTGTTTGACCAAGGTAGTGATCAATCTAAATGTTTGTTTTTTAATTAACCTAGGTTTAGAAAAAAAGAGTCATTTGAATTATATTACAAAAAATACATTGATAAAACATATTATAACTATATAACTCTTCCAATTTCATTCCAAAGAAACAATTGTATGGTATTGATTCTATCATTTCTTAATACTTCTCAACCACACAAATTCTTTTCCTAAAAACTACACGTTAAGTCAAAAGGGGGACATAAATGTTTAATGCAGTCACTTATGGCATGCCACATGTAAAATACCCTGTAGTACATTTTATTGCCAATATGTAATTTTAGACTGAAAAAAAATCAAAAAATAAAAAGGCAGAAGACATGTATTTCTAAAAGCAGTGAACATAGTTCACAGTTACTTGATCAGATCACTGACCTGGCAGTCTGCTTTTCCCTTGACAATGGCCTTCATAATTCTTATTGAGTCATCCTTAAAACCAGCCTGCATTGGGAAAAAATTGAGATTCAAGTGACCTTTGTTTTGAAGACCCATTATTAGAATGCAGCATTCATATTACAAATGTTTAAAAAAAAGCAGCACATTTTGGATAATGATACAGCAGCAAAAATTGCATGTAAGACAAAATAAATTGGGATAATAATAATAATAATAAGGAAAAACAAACTTACATCTTCTAACATGTGGTCTGCCTCATCAAACACAAGAATCTTCATGCAACTTGCACCCAGTTTCTTAGCAGTGATCCACCTATTTATTGTTCCAGGGGTACCAATTATGACTTGAGCTGTAACAGGCGGTCGCTTATTTATTGGAACATAGTTTTCCTTACTCGGTGGTATAGCCAATTCTGATGTTATACCAGTAAACTTTCCCATCTTTAACAAAACTTCCATATTCTGTAACAGTGGCCAAAAGCTGGATTAAAGCTTAAACTAGTTTCAATTGATGCATCTATATGTGCCATTTCGAGACTATTTTTCAAAAGCCATCTATGATGTTAACTATGGACTAACATATGGAAATTCTTTGCTTAAAACGAACTTCACTCTCAAACCTAGAGCATTCACAATGGTTCACATATGATGAACCATAGTAGTACACTCTTGTTCATATAGTAATATGGATAACATTAATACTACATATATGAGACAATCATATACTTCATATAAACATTGAGTTCATTACAAATTAATCACCATTTATAGGTAGTTGGGTGAACAACAGAACAAGGATATACACAGCTGAACCAGACAAGATTTGTACCCACTCAGTAACAAAATAGTAATCTCATATAGATTATATCTTGAGTGATTAAAAATCTTATTGAAGTTGTAGAGAGGATGTTTCTTTTAGGACCCAAAAAAGGCGCACACCTGGATGGCAAGTTCTCTGGTGGGGCAAATACACAGAGCCTGCGGGGCACCGAGTCTAGGATCAACCCGGCTCAACATCCCTAGCACAAAACATGTTGTTTTTCCAGAACCGTTGTGAGCCTGGGCAATAAGATTCAAGTGTGGAGGAGTGAGTATCATAGGCAGAGTGACTTCCTGTACTTTACTTGGTCTCTCAAACTTCATCTCCGAATATAAACCTTTTAACAACTCTTCTGACAAGCTCAAGTCTTCAAATGTTTTAGCAGATTTATACAAAGTATCTCCAGACGGAACCTAATCACCAATATTGAACTCAATTAAAACAATAGAACCTAACTAAAGTCAATACCAATGAATCATCAGATACAACTATAAATATAAAGTGTATGTACCACTTGAATACTAGCGTCGCTTGGATCAGAAAGGGTGCTTTTGATATCTTTGGACTCATCAATGACCAAAGATTCAATCGCGGGTTCATCGTTGGATTTCATATCCAAAGTTGACATCTCAGAAGCATCCGCCTCGTCGGCTACGTCCGCCCAACTTTTAGATATCTTTGTCTCTTCCATGGATGACCTCTTTGTCTCTTCCATGCCCAACTTGTGATCAACTCAGAATAATTATAGTCACAGTGGCTCTCTTTTTCTAAGCAATTCAACTCCACAAGGCCCTTTTTTTGTGATAGTAATGACATGGAGGAGCGGAAACCAGGTGAAATTCCAAATCTAGGAAAATATTTGCTTCTTCCCAGATCGGGGTTCTACTCCCCATTCCAAATCCAGGAAAATGATTCCAAATCATAAATAATTTCATTATAATAGTTTTTGGGGATAGAGAAGACCTTACCTTGAAAGAAACGAAGGAAGACGACGGGTGAAGGAGTGACAGCTGCGCCCTGGCCTGCTTGCGGAAGAGAAGTGGCAGAACCTCTGCTTGCGGAAGACGGGAAGAAGAGAAGAGGATAGGTGTCCACAAAATGGGGTTTTTATTTTTTATTTGTAATTCAAAAATCTATCTTAGTCCATATTTTTTGCCATGTTCCCATGACATTAGAACTCGGCCTTCCGTACCCTGTTCGTAAAATTGACGATTACTAATTTTCTAACTATCCACCGCGTCTCGACTCGAACACACTTCCCGCTCTTTCAATTACACCTCACAAACTGATTTTCACTTTAGAGTCAAAATTTGACTCTAAAGTCAAAATCAATTTGTGAGGTGCAATTAAAGAGGGTGAGATGTATCCGAGTCGGGGCGAGGTGGAGGGTTAGGGATAGGAACTATTAATTTTATGAACGGGGCACCAGAACCCCTCGGGTCATCCCATTACATTGCAATCGCCCCATATTTTCTATACGAGTAACAATTAGGAATCCATTAATCATAATTTTTCATTCTTGAACATAAAATTTGATTAAATAATCCCTATAAAATTTCTGTGGTCCCAAATAGACCTCTCAAAATTTGGAGATTAAATAATCCCTATAAAATTCTTTGGTCCGTGACGTTGACTTTTTGACTGATTGAATAGCCAAAAGTATTTTTTACTTAATGATTTTTTTATTTGGATGTTTGATTTGAAAAACCAAAATTTAAAAAGTCGAAGAGAACTGCTTTTGGACTTGACCGTTAGAAAAATTAATTTTTTAATCATTTTTTGAAAGATACTCAATATCTAAAAAATTAAAAAATAAAATTGAAAATTTAGAAAACAAAATAAATTAAATGAGAAAATCAAATTAGATCAAATCAAATCAAATCAAATCAAAATTTATTTTAATCATATCAAAACTATTCAGATTTAATTTGAAAAGAAAGAATACGGGATGACATGGTCCTCACTTTATTTTGTTTAGTTTCATAAATTCATAGCTCTTCAAGTTCATCAGTCTTTGAAATATGTCATATCACAATCGCCCAGATCTTCATCTTCTTTTCAACAAAAGCTCAACAAGTTTTGCATTAATTCTTTATTTTCTTTTGCCCAAAATATTCGTGCTGTAGATACATTGGCTATATATCCAAAGAGGACGACAAGTTGCAGGGGAGCTATCGGCTGTTCTCGATGGCTTTGGTAGCTCGCTCGGAGTGCTCAAAATTGCTGGTGATGATTTCTGCGGCCGCCGCACTTGTTACTGTTGTCTGCGGTGTCGCCGGAACTTTCCCGAGCAGTGTGATGACTTTGCAAAGGGCATTCCCGGCGAACCAGAAGGTTGAATTTGAGGTGCTTAGGGATCGGGACCGGTTGAGGCACGCCCGGCTCTTGCAGGATATGGCGGGTGGCGTCGTTAATTTTCCGGTCATAGGTTCGCCCGACCCGAATTCAGTAGGGTAAGGATTTCGTTAAAAACCCGTGGGCAAGTGTACTTTGATTTGCCTTTCTACTTCGTTTATGGGCAACTTTTGGTTTCGTCTTGCTGAATTCGAGGTCTGATAAACGGTGGATTTGGAATTGTTTACCTCTCTGTGATGTTTTGTACAAAACAGCTCTTTTGGGGAAATCAATTTTCCTTATTCTCAGTTACTCCCTATTACATTTGTTTTCTTTTCATGTAATAATCTCTACTGACGTAGTAGGCTACCAGCTAGCTTATTTCACATGTGTTTCGAGTAGGGTAAGGTCTGTGTACTCGGACCTTCCTAAGACTTCACTAAATGGAAATTTATTGGGTCTGCCGTTGTTGTTGTTGTTCAAGATTCACATGCCCTTGTTTACATTGGATCGTGGGTAAAACATTTGGTTTGGTGAGACATTATATGTGGTTGGGAGATTCACCTTGTTTTATATAATTCCATCTGTGTTCATTAAAGCTTTCCTAGACAAAGTTATTGTTCTATGTATGAGAGCACGATTCCAACCCAATGGTCATGCTGATGCTTTTGAGTGTTTTTTGTAGCCTCTACTTCACAAGGATAAAACTGGGATCTCCACCAAGAGAATTCAATGTGCAGATTGACACTGGAAGTGACATCCTATGGGTTACTTGTAGTTCCTGCAACAATTGTCCTAGGATTAGTGGTCTCGGGGTAAAATCTACATTCCTTTACTTATGGGGTAGCCGTTCGGTAGGAATGGTAGTCATATTCTCAGCTCGTAGCCTTATCACCCACATTTTTTACCAAACACTATTACACTGCGTACTAACTTCTTTTGACACCGTGAATTAAAGTTTTGCTGGAGGTACTATTTTGGCTTAAGTTGTTGGAGATTATCGTTTTCATATTTTTTCATATACTCCCTCCGTCCCCAAATTAAATTTACTCTTTCATTCTTCATCCGTCCCAAAATGAAATTTACACTTTTTCTCTTTCATTTTTAAGAAAAGAATATGTGGCTCACCACATTTCTCTTCCAATTTCCAAGCAAATTCACATTTTTCACTCTTCGACTTTAATTTTGGCACAAAGAGAGCATATATTTTTTTCTGTTCAACGATAGCAATTTTTTGAAGAGATTTCAGAAATTCCATCTCACAAAATCATTAATTCCAGCCAAAGTAATCCTTATCAAACAGGCTTTCGACAACTCTCTTATGTTTTACTATTTCAACTGTAATTCTGTTTGCAGGTTGATCTCAGCTTCTATGATGCTTTGAGCTCATCAACTGCTTCGCCTATTTCTTGTTCAGATCAATTATGTGCTTCTGCCGAATGTACCACTGAAGGCAACCAATGTAGTTATTCATTCCAGTATGGAGATTCAAGTGGTACATCTGGTCAATACCTATCAGATTTGCTCTACTTTGACACGGTCGTGGGGACCACCTCATTGATTGCTAGCTCTTCAGCACCAATTATGTTTGGGTAAGCTGTTATTATAATAACAAAACAAGTTTCCATAAAAATGGAAATATATAATCAAGTTGTCTACAATGTGCATGAAATCATCACTTTCTACGTGTGATCATTTTTCAAGATTTCATTCATAATTCGGCACACTAGATGGAGAAGTTCTATTGCGAAAATACTAGGAAAATATATTCTCCCTCCATTCCAATATCATTGTCACATATTGACTTCACACATATTAAGGCAAATAATAAAGGTGTATTGACCTTCCCAAATTGCCCTTGGAAAGGTAATAGTGGTTAAGGCAGGTGGGTAAGTAATGGGGGTGGGTCAAAAAAGGTGTATGAAATCTGTAGGGATAGTATAGCCTTTTTGTTGTGTTAGGTATACAAAAAATGGAAGTGTCACTTTACGTTTGGGACGCCCGGAAATGGAAAGTGCGAATTTAATTTTGGGATGGAGGGAGTATGGAAGAAAACGTTGAGGAAACTTGGATAGAAAGAAAAATACAAGGGAAAAATAAGAGGTAGGCTAAAGCTCAATGAATTTATATTTAAGTGCTTTCCGATACTGAAATTCTATTGTTTTTATTCAAACTTGGACACGTTTATATGTGTGCTAGGTTCACTTCTCCCTAGACATGTGTGCAAGAGGGGAAGATTTTTTATTTAGTGTCGCAAAAAAGAACAGAACTGAAAAAAATACCATGTTGAAGGGAAATAGGGAAGGCCATGGCGGAAGAAAGAAAACTTAATTCTTTATTAGAGCAATACCAAAGTAGTCTATGATTCCATGTTGCCTTTTTTTGTAAAAGTGTAGCATATTTACTAAATAAAATAATCATAACAAATAACTAGTTGCTAAATAACAGAGAACAAATACTCTCTTAGCTCCGATTTAGTTTTCCACTTTCTAATTTTGATGTGTCCACTATTAACTGTCCACTTTCAGTTAACAAACTATTAATAATTATAAAAATCACCCTAAAAATATACTCTATTTAGCTTTGTTATCATCAATAAAGACCAACTAGTTTCAAGGAGTTATATGCTATTTTACCTAGATTTCTTAAATATGAGGTATTTTGGATAGTAGACAATAAAACCTGGATGGAGGATATAACTAATTGTTAGCCAAACATGAAGCTAAACAAATAAAACAAGTAATTTCCAAATTATCCTCATATTGGTGGCACATCTGCCTTTACATTTGGCCGATGTAGCCGAGAATATTGCATACCAGCAAACCTATCAATTTCATTTTGCTTTGAATTTTCCATATTAAAACCAAACCTATGAAAATAACTTTTCATAGCATCTTCCCATTTAGGTGGTATATTTCGTGATCCAAACATACCCGAAGTATGTCAAGTACTTTTATGTTTTTGTTGTGATATGGTTGGTCTTTATGGTACAAAAATTGTTAGTCTACAAATTTTGAAGAAAAATCTCCTTCAGTTTCTCACCACTTTTTTTCTTTCTCGGAAACAGGTGCAGCACCATTCAGTCGGGGAGTCTGACTTCACCAGACAGAGCAATTGATGGAATTTTTGGATTTGGTCAACATGACCTATCTGTTATATCCCAATTGTCGTCGCGTGGGATTACTCCAAAAGTATTTTCACATTGTTTAAAAGGAGATGGGAGTGGTGGAGGGATACTAGTTCTTGGTGAGATTATGGACCCGAGAATAGTTTATACCCCCCTTGTACCATCACAGTACGTATTCTCAGTGTGTAACATTTTCATGGATCTGGTCATGGAAATGGAAATGGAAATATCATGAATTTGTGATTTACATTGCTTTAGTGTCAATGTCTCGTACATCATGGTACCAGACAACATGTGTGGCACTCCATGATTGGAATTGGTGAAAGTCAGCATAGATTTTTTTCCCCTTCACACATTTAATTTGGATCGAATCAACTTGTCCCAAAAGCACATTTGAGATGTGAGTTGTGCCTCACATTTCTATACTAAAAGGATCCTCAAGATGTTACATTTACGTCATACTTATATGCTAGACTAGACTCAAATCAAGTAGACAAAAAAGGGGACATTCAACACATCTCCATCTGCCCAAGCCGGGTTGGATAACTAAATGCAGACAAATGGATCCAAATTGACCCCAAACTATGGACATCCTAAAAACCACATTGGACTTATGCCATGCAAAATTGAGCCCAATTCGACCAAAATAGATCCTCAAGACGGCAAGGTTTACCTTAACGTATATACTAGACTCAAACCCATTAGGCAGCCTATGTGTATACTCAATAGAAATGAAAATATTATTAATGTGTCGTGAGTTATGATTTGCCATTTCTGTCCTACGATTAATGTGAATGATACACATGGATGTCATTGCAATAAATTATTAGCAGCATAATCTTGCTCCTCATTTAGTTCTTTTTCCCAAACCTGCAGGCCTCATTATAATGTATATTTGCAGAGTATTGCTGTGAATGGGCAATTGTTGCCTATTGACCCAGCTGCGTTTGCAACATCTGGAAATTGTGGTACCATTGTAGATTCCGGGACAACTTTGGCTTATCTTGTACCTGAAGCGTATGAACCCTTTGTTAGTGCTGTAAGTTCATCTACACTTTAAGAATTTTGGCTGAAGTCTCAAACCATTCTAAGCTTCTCTCATAAAGAAAAACCTAATTGGCATATTGCATTAAGGGACTAGCTATTGGTAGCCTTCCTATGCTGGGATTTTTCAGTTCAAAACTATTGCAAAAAATATAAAAGTAGTCCAATTCAAAAATTTAATTATTTTGCTCCTCAAAAAAGTCTAATGTGAAGTTGTGAGCAAAAAAAGATCTATTCGCTCCATCCCACTATTTTTTTGGATTTTTTAAGTGATTTATGTGGTAATAAAGACTACAAAACATCAGCTGAGCTGATGTTATCTCTTCCACCAAAGAAGCCTAATTTCCATCTTGGTCTGCAGATAACTGCTTTTGTCTCACAGTTCTCCAATCTCGTCATATCTAGTGGGAAACAGTGCTATGAAGTTTCTACCAGGTTCGTTAAATTACTATTATCAGCTTGAAAGTCCAAGAAACAACTTCTGTCTTTGTTCACTTGGACGTGACTTCTTTTTATGCCATGTGCAGCATATTTGAAATATTTCCTTCAGTTGCTTTTAACTTTGCTGGTGGTGCATCGATGGTTCTAAGACCCTCGGAGTATCTTGTTCGTATGGGATTTAATGTGAGTTTTTCAACTCGGAATCTTCAATTTCCCACCCAATCAAACATCTAAAATGATGCCATGCTGTGATTGTTATAACAGGAGGATTCCTCTTTGTGGTGCCTTGGTTTCGAAAAAATGAACTGTGTTACAATATTAGGAGGTTAGTACTTTTCCCCCGACCAGGCTATACTAGTACTATAGACATATATAAACAAGAGGCCTATACAATATATTCTAACACTTCTATTTTCTTTTGTGCCTAATGATAAACATTTGGACATTTTTCTTGTTGGTATAAGTGCATTTTTTTCTTCACATACTCACATTCATTGTTAGAACAAATATAGGTTATATAGCACTAGTCAACCTCAAAAGCAACTAAATTTGATTTTCATGTCTTTGATGCCCAGATATTGTTCTCAAGGATAAGATATTTGTTTATGATTTAGCTCATCAGAGAATTGGTTGGGCTGATTATGATTGTAAGTGGCAACCAATATTACCCCATTTTATTGTTGCTCAAAAGATTGCATATATTTGGTGTCACTTTTGACTTTGGTGGAACTAAATTAAATTTTTTTCCTTGAAAATTGTAGCTCAAGTCCAATTAAGTATGAACAGGTTCATATATAACTGAATATGTTTACATATGCAGGTTCTATGTCAGTTAATGTGTCCATAACTTCTCGCAAGGATGAGTTTATAAACTCCGGACAATTACGCGTGAACGGTGGTCCATCCATCTGTCTATACCCCAAAACCATCACTCTTACCAAAACTGTTTATACCCATTTTATGCGAGCGTTGATTCTACTATCAATGGGGTTTGGCTTCTCATTTTTGTAGCTCAGCGAACTACGTACAATTTAGGGTTCGTTTTTTTTCCCTCGGCTTTTTTTTTTGCCAATTTATGTTTATAAGCGGGTTGACCAGCCATTGTAGCAGAGTGTAATTCCTTTGGTGGGTGGGTTCTTGCTTGAACTCTCTTTCTTGTTTCTTAGCTGACTGATGTTATGAGGTGTATCAATATGTATAGCAATGGAGTAATTCCTTTTCTAAAGCTGCAATTAATCTGCTCGAAATTTTGGGCTACAAACGAATACATGCACAACAATGGCCTTGTTTGGAAAATAGCTTTTCAGATAGCTTTTGTCATCTTTGACTGACTTTGGCTTTTTTAATTAAGCGAACAACCAAAATCATTGTTTGGCTAATGGCTTTTTCACTTGGCATTTTGATCCGAAAAGCCAAAATTTGAAATGCCAAAATTTGGATGTTAGAAAAATTAATTTTTTTAAAATCATTTTGTTTAAAGATATTTTATAATATATGTAAAAAAATAAAAATAAAAGTTAAAAAAATTAAATACTAAAAAAATAAAATTTCAAAAAAATGAAATGTGAAAATAAAAAGTAAAAATCATTAAAAAGTTTTATATTCATAATTTTTTATGAATTAAATGAAATTAAAATTTAACACTCCATATAGTAAAGATTTAATTTTTATATGTAAAAAAAGAAAAATAAATATTGTGTGCGTGTGTATATATAGGAAAAACTATCTTCAAACAGCTAATTTTACCAAACATTTTTAATGATCACCCAATTCATTCTGCCGGTCAAACCAGCTAAACTAAACAGTCATTCACAACCGTTGGCACGAATAGCCAACAGCTGACAACCAACATCCAAACAAGACCAATGTTTTACTCTACCCGTCTCAAAAAAATTGTCTTATTTTGATTTTTATTCCAATTTTAGTCACAAGTTAAATATAGCATTAAATTGCTAACATAAATAGCAAAAACTAGTGAATCAATAAAGCATGTCTTAACCAGACAAGGAAAGATACCCTATACCTTGGGTTAAGTTAAGACATAGTGACAAATGGATACACGTTATAGTGGAAATATTATTTAATACTTCTTCCGTCCCGGAGTATTCGTCCAGTTTTGACTTTTGGAACTGTTCATCTAAGCACTTTGACTCATCAAATTCTCTAAATGTGTAAGCCTAAATATAGTCATGTGTGATCTTGTTTGATTTGTCTTAACATATAGGTTATTAATATATAATTTATATAATTTTTTAATATACAAATTATAAGATAAAATGGATTAAAGAAGTGTATTGGATGGTGTGTAAAAATGAAAGTGGACAAATACTCTGGGACGGAGGTAGTATTATGGCTACCTTTTATAGATAACATTAGACAATTTTATTGAGGGGATAATATTTTATGTATACTCTAAATTAGTAAAATAATATACAATATATGTTTGAAATGTATATGTATGTATATACGGTATATATTTCATATTTACGTATACATGTATACATGGTTATACATATGTAATATATACTATGTTCTTTTATTTTTTTTTGTGTCATTTTAATTGTGAATATAATTATTTTGACAAACTATTTTGTATACAACATTTTAAAATAAGAACGTTTTATTACATGGTATTTTATTTTGTGACATTTTAATTATCCAATAATTATTGATGTCAAAATAATAATGTATTATTAAATGATGAATTTATTATTTCAACTCCCTATTTTCCAAAATTGGGTAGTCCAATTTACCCAAGACCATTTCCAAACCTTAATGTGAGCTTAATGACTAAGAGTATGTTCTTTAGGACTTAAAGTACCGAGTAAAAGGTAATTAGGGTAATTAAATTGTTGTGTAATATATTATTTAATAATAAGGTAATTCCATACCTTAAAATTTTTAATACCGTGTTATAAAAAGTATAAATGTACTTATTATGGTACCATGTGAATTAACATGGAAGATAAAAAGTAAAATTTTTAAATACCCTTTTATAAAAAGTATAAATGTACTTATTATGGTACCATGTGAATAAAAGTATTCTCATACCAAATATTTTGTGGTCCAATATTATATATTATAAATGAAATTTAAAAGTTTGGAAATTGAAATGATAGTATGAAAAAAATGGATCAAACAATAATTGGGTTTTTCGTTTTTACTTTATAGTTTATATGTATTTTAAATAAATTAATTTCATTATCAGCAACGTAATAATGATATTAAAAAGGTATGTTTCTTTTACGTGATTGCCGTGTATAAAAAAATTACCGTTTTTGAAAAAAAATCGTTGCCTTAAAAAAAGTATCATACCTTAAAGTATTGAAATTAAAATCACAGTTGTATTTCCATTTATACTTTTTAGTTATTTTAAATAAATTGATTTTCTAATACACGGTTTTGGTAAAAAAAAGAATCATAAATATATGTTGATAATTAAAATTTTAAGTTAAAAATGGAATGTTGTAATGGTAAGAAACACCAAAAATCGATCAAAAAATAATTGTGTTTCTGTTTTTTACTTTACACTTATTTCAAATACGGTAACTTCACTCACTACAAGAAATATGACCTTTTGTGGCTAAGTTTTAGTAGCAAAATCAATATTTGCCACAATTTTTAAATAGTTTACAAATATTTGTGGCAATTAGAAATTTGCTACAAAATAATAGTCCTATTGTGGCAATTGTATAAGATTGCTACTATATCTAAATAATTGGACCTAAAGGTAAGCCCAATTTTGAGGTCCAATTAATCTATCTAAATAATAGTCCTATTGTGGCAGAGTATCTTTTCTCTCTTATGTCTTTGTTTTTCGATCGTGACAGCGAAACATGGGGGATCGAGGGTTGACGACGGTTAGCGCGCCCATGCCTAGTCTCCGATGATGCAAAGCAAGGGCGAGCAGGCGATTACCGAATGGTGGCGGCTGGCTCTGGTTTCAAGCAGCGGCGGATGCAGCGAGCATAGGCGACGGAGAAGTGCGGAGAACGATGACTTCTTGCACTGATCGAACAAAAAATTCTGCACCAAATCACACAAAGTCCGATGTCCAATACTTATTTATCGGTATAAACTTGGAATCCTAGTTGTTCTTCAATTCCTTTCAAGTTTATGTTCGATTTCATGTATGCCTTCTATTTTAGTTTGTTGTGTCTATGTGTTAAAGTTTAGACTGATCTGGATTAAGCTTTGATTGTGTTAAATATTAGATTGAGTATCTAATTTCCTCAAAAAATATATGAATTTGGCTTTTAATTATGAATAAAAGTTGGTTTGATTCTGTTTTCAACCCATATGTGGCGTGTTTGTTTGTTATGTTGTTATGTTGAATCCAAGTATTATTTACATCTCTATTTGAGGTTAAACAGGGTAGCGAATTGAATTACCTCAAGTGAGGCTCAAGGAAATAGATTTTCTAGATTCAATTTTTGCATTAGAGGGATATATCTCTCTGTCTATAGCTGTGAAAAAAGAAATAGAGGCTGTCTTCTTGAACCCCAAAAATCTAAGTAGTGTGAACAATGAGCTCTTGGTGCAAACTCAGGAGAACAACCAGTCCCGCCTTGATCTATCAGGCTTTCCATCGTCACGGACTCGGGAACTGAAGCAGCGAGGCAAGGGCTCTGGTTCAAATGACCAATGACGACGTGGAGCTGAAAGCGAGAATTAACAAAGATGACTCCAGGGTTAGCAGCTTCGGCCTACCTTGTATTTTGTGGCAAAGTTGCCACAAATACCTTTTGTAACGGGGTATCTGTGGCAATCTTGTGGCAAATTCCTAAATTGCTACAAATTGTTATTGTGGCTAATTTTTTATGTTTTGTGGCAAAATTTGGTGCCACAAAAAGTCAATTTTTTTGTAGTGACTATAAGCAATGTAATAATAATATTAAAAGGGTATGTTCCTTTTTTTGCAATTACAGTGTATAAAAAATTAGCGTCTTTAAAAAAAATTGAAAACGTTGCCTTGAACAAAAAAAATTCTCATACCTTGAAGTATCAAAATTAAAATTATTGTGTTTCCTTTTATACTTTATAGGTATTTTAAATAAAATATTTTTCTTATACACGTTTTGGTAAGAAAGAATCATAAATAGACATTGATAATTAAAAATGTAAGTTTAAAAAGGAACATTGAAATGGTAAGTGATGGGCAATAAATTTTTTCACCAAATGATCCGACTTTGAACGGCGGATCGAAAGAATTAACAACAAACAAGAACTCGAGCATTATGGAATTATACGCTAGGTTTAGCTTGAAGATCCCCGTTCGGGTCTTCTCTATTTATACATGTCATCTACGTAATTATGGTAGTTTGCAATTTATGGAAGCTATTCCGAGATCCGCGCGATCCACTTTCCTCGGCTATCTTTCCACACCCAGCTGCGTCTCCTTCTTTTACTCGGACTCCCCCAGCTGCACTTTCTTTGGGTCGGTCCAGGCCGAACCTTTGGGCCGGCCCAGGACCGTCTCGCACTCACACGGGTATCCAAGCACCCCTTGGGCATGAGGTTTGGGCCGGCCGTTGGGTATCGGCTCATCGGTAAGTAACACCAACCGTGTAATTTGGCAAATATTACATTGTAATTTTAAAAATAAAAAATCTGAAAAAGGAAAATAGATTAAGCAAAAAAAATTTCATAGTATAAATACGATTATTTGCGAAGATTTTCATAATTAGTTTCCTTTGAGTGCGTTTTTAAATCCGTGCAATTAAAAAATGATCTTAATTTAGTAACGTAAATATGGCCCGTGTAACGTACGAGGGTGATACTAGTATTACATAATTTATAATATAATAAAAACAATTATTCAACGTAGGATTGAATATTTCACATACTAAAAATAGTACTTGACGACTGGACGTGGGGTGGGAATTTTTAAGTTCCACTACGTACAAAATAAAATTATTAAGGGGCTGTTTGGCACCTTCTGAATAGGTAAGTGCTGAACCAGTAAGAGGTCTGAACCATTAAGTGCTGAACCAGTAAGAGGTCTGAACCATTAAGAGCTAGTATATTGCTTAACTATTCAGAGGCTAATGTCTAATCAATTCAGATAAATGGTCTTAACCATTCAGACTCTGTATAATACTTAATCATTCAGAGGCAAATGTCTGAACCATTCAGACATCTGAATCATTATGAGGCCTAAACAAACAGTCTGAATCATTAAGTTCTGAACCATTCAAATATCTGAATCATTAAGAAGCTGAAACAAACAGCCTCTAAATACTCAATAAATATAAACCAAAAGATTTCATTCTCAATATACTAAACAGGATTATATAATGAATTAAAATACCAAGACTTGACATAAAGTAGTTAAAATGGTCTCAATTATCTTTAGGAATAGTAGATAGTGGTTTGGACTATCACAATCTACAAAAAAAAAAGTAAAATTTGCACTATATAATACTAGTAAAACATACAGAGTATATATTTTGTGAATGTATTACATATAATCTTTTATTCTCTGAATAGTAGTATTTAAGTAATGTCCAATGACGAGAACAATGTCTAGTGACGGTGGACATTTATTTTGAACAATGTCTAGTGACGGTGAACATTTATTTGAACAATGTCTAGTGGATATTGAACAATTATACTACATTGGAGAATAAAACAAATGGTACTACATTATGAAGTTCACTATGTTTTGGTACTATATAGGTAAATTCTCCAAACAAAAAGTCTTTGTCAGAAACTCATGAAATACAATCAATTATGTATTAAATAAATTTATAATATACTAAAAATAGTTATTCAACGTAGGATGGAACATTTAAAATACTAAAAATAGTACTTGACATGGGGTGGAATATTTTAAATATTTAACAAATAAAAATCAAATGATTTCATTCTCAATATACTAAACCGAATTACGTAATGAAGTACAATTATTAAAGTAGGGATGCAATACAAATATCTATCCGTATCTAATATAAAATTATGTGTTAAATATGTTTTTGATGCCCATAAACTTAGCACATTTTGTTTGTAACTTTTCAAAAAAATAATAATTAAATCATCCAAACAATTTTTTTAAAAAACAGTCATCCCCCAGATTTAAAGGTTGAATTGGATGGTCTATGTATGTGTTGATCCCTCTAAAATTTATAAATTTTGTGTTTGATTTTAATTTTTTTTGCTTTATTTATCCTTATTATTTATTAAATAAATGTGCAACTAAAATAATAAACATGTAATTAAGAATAAATATGAAATTAAAGTAGTGGAAGCATTTATTTAAAATTAAAAAAAAAAACTAGTAAAATTAGCATTAACTAATAAAATTAGCAAGAATTAATTCAAGTCGAATCCAAAAATAATAGCAAATACGAACCACTCGTAATATTTCATTAAAATTTTCTTTTAAAGAAAAGTTTTAAAGATTGAAAAAAGATTTAGTTTTGTAAATAAATTTGTAATAATAATGTAGCTATTGGATTAAGCTTCTAAAATTATTTATTTTACTTTTACCCTGTAATTTAAAAAATTAATTTGAACATTGAGAAAAAATTAATCTTATATGCAGTATTTAATAATTTTATATAGGAATTAATAAAAAAAAATTGATTCTTAAAGGGACTAGAAACAAAATGTATAAATTTTGAAGGGATCAATTCAAAATATATACTCAGTATTTAAATTCTAGGAGGATTATTTAAAAAATAATAAATTTACAGAGATGATTTGGTTTAAATAATGGGAGAAAGACCAAAGTAGGACTAAAATATTGAAAATATACCAAAATAGGACTTTCATGTTTTTATTTTCGAAATAGGACTTACATTACCAAACATGGACATATACATTACCAAAAAAGTATAGTAATGTGCAAATATACACTGCCACATTACCACAGTGCAAAGTCACATTACCACAGCGCAAAGTTTTATTTCAAGAAAAAAACATGAGAGTCCTATTTTGATACTTTTCTCTATGCTTTAGTCCTATTTAGGGTGATTTCTATTAAATAATTTTTGAGGAACCAAAAACCAACCTCGTTAATTTTACAAGGGCAAAAAACATATTTGAACTTTTCTTTTTTTATTTTAATCTTAACTTTTCTTATTTAATTTAATTTTTTTGTTTTTTAAATTTTAAATTTTAAATTTCAATTTTTTCACATATATTAATAACTATTTATACTCCGTAATAAATAATGGTAAAAAAATAGCAATTTTTTTTAATGGTGAAGTCCAGAAGATGCTCTCTATTCTCTTTGACTTTTTAGATTTTAATTTTTTGGGTCGAGCAACCAAGTGAAAAAATCACTTGCCAAATAATGATTCTGTATACTCCGTATTTGATTAATCAAAAGAGTCAAAGTGAGTTATAACTTAGAAAGGAAGATACTTTTTTAAATGGACAAAAGTTATGATGAAACATTTAAATGCGATCATTTGAAAAGGAGAGTACGTATAATACTTCCTCCGTCCCAAAAAAAAGTTCCCATTTTGACCATAAATTGGTCAAACTATTGCACACTTTGACTATAAATTAAATATAATCTAAATAAAGAAATGCTAGAAAAAATTTGAGATATCAAAACTAGATCCTAAGATGAATCCAATTATATAAAATTTATTTCATAATTCAATATACCTTTCTCACAATTTGTAGTCAAAGCGTGTAAATATTTGACTAAATACTATTCAAAATGGGAACTTTTTTGTGGAACGGAGGAAGTATAATTTTTTACGCACCAATATTTGTATTCAAACGTACGAAGAAACATTTAAAGAGGATTATTTGAAAAATAACCAAAAATAAAAAAACATGAACTTCGTTTATACTATATTGATAGTACAATTTTTAAGAAAGTACATACTCAAAAAAATTGAATTTAAATATAGACCGCTAATATTTTTATTGTATTGACATTTTTTGAATTAATGTCGTGCAGAAGAATGGTCACATTTTCTTTTTTAATTATTTTTTAATCATAAGATCGTTAACCATTCTTATATTGTTAGTAACATGAAAGAGAAAATTAAATTTACATTTTTAATCAATATGTGGGGTGAGGGTGGGGAATCATATTAATGCCTGAGAACAATATTATATTTTTCTTTGAATAAAAAATAAATATGTTTTAGCTGAGCGTGACACGAGTTCAAAAAGTAGTTCAAAAGATCCAAGAGTATTGATTATTGTATGCTTGTATAGAAGACATGTTCACTTATTGTTCTTCCATAATTCTAAGGTCCATATATAAAATGTGAATCTTCTCATACTTTTTATGGATCGACAAGTGTTTTTTTGTAAAAGACCCGATTATTTTTTGATACCAATGCACTAAAGTTTATAAAATGAGCATGAACCTTAATACGGAGTATCATGTAAGAATTTACCTAAATAAGAATGTTCGTGATTCCTTATAAGAAGAAAATCTAATAGATAATCTATATTTCATATACTAAAATATGGCATTTATTATTATTATTTTCAATGAAATTTATAGCACCAAACTAACCAGAGTGTCAATATATAATATCAAGAAATATTATAAAATGCCAAAAAATGTCAAATTGTGGGAATTTACAATGCCAACACACTTATTTAAGAGATAAAAATTATAAAATGCATGTCTTATTTTCCTATAATTTTTATTGATTATATTCGATGTTAGTTTAGTCATTTAATTTTAATATTTTGTACAATATTATCCAACAATAGCTTTTTAGTGTTAGCATTTCTTAAAAATAAATTTAATTTTAATATTTTGTACAATATTATCCAACAATAGCTTTTTAGTGTTAGCATTTCTTAAAAATAAATAACTTGCATTCTAAAATAATCTAAAATAATAACTATAATTAGAAAGCTCACACTACCTGCGTTGTTAACAATTCACACAAAGTTTGGGCGGATATATAGGAAAAATTTACAGCAATACTTCAAAAAATTTTGATTTCATAACAATACTCCAAAAATCAATTAATTACACTATTACTTACACAATTACTCTATTTTAACAAAACTACTCCACCCACCACCCGCCACCTCACTTGCACAATCATATTGTGTAATATCTACATTAATTTTAAATTTATGGCTTGGAAAATAAATTAGAAAGTAAGGTATTTTGATATGTCTATTAAATGTCAGTCAATTATAAAGTATTTGGATATTTTCTATCATCTTGGCTTAAAGTATATACTCGAAATGCTCCTTTATAATTAAGTAATTTTTCAAACTAATAATTTTAAGTAAACATTTTTTCAAAATGGAATCCATGAGCCAACTCGTGGTGGATCCCTTCTTCTAGTAGCTTCCCACTTAATTAAAAAACCATTTTGAGAACTTATTCAAATTAAAATTTAGATAATAAAGAGCATCAAAATACCCCTCTACTTAACTGTCATTTAATAGGTATTTTTATAAAAGACTATTTAGGAAACACCTTTCAATTATAAATATCCACGTTAGTAATATTTGCTTATTGATGATTACTTTGGAAAAAAATCTTATTAGAAGGGGGCTATTTTGAGAATTTAATTTATTTAAAATATTTTGTCATATTTGGTGAAAAAGGACTATTTGTAGAATATTTTTTAAAAATTGAGAAATGTTTATGAAATATCTTATAATTGAGGACTAAATATGAAAAATTATAAATAATTATGGACCATTTATGAAATTTACGCAACTTTATATTTAATTAGTGAAGAACTGAAGGAAGGATTATCATCTAAAATACTCCCCAGTAAAATAGAGAATGGGTGATACGTACATCCTCTTACAATCTCGTCGGGCAGGGAGTGAGAGATGCCCAGGTTGGGCGATTTTACCTTTTGGAACAAGAGAATGGGAGATACGTGCCAATGCTACGTGCAACCGTGCGCCGGCCGTTGCCTCCCCATCCATCCGCTTCCCGACCCTCCACCGTCCCCCACCACTCATCATCTCGCGTCACCCACCCTTCTCCCTTCCTCTGTGCCAATGCCCCTGCTCTTCCCCTCCACCCTGTGATGTACGCCTCTTATTTTATTAAATTATTTTTAACTTATCTCAGAATATTTTTTTAAATATTAACTTTTAGATATTAACCATGAATATGACAGTTTAAAGGAAAGTTTTATTCCATCCAAATAGAAATATGGTGTAAACTATTTTTCTTAAAAAATATTTCCACAAATTTTTTTTTAAAAGAAATGATTAGAAATTATACTTTTTTTTGTACAAAACTTGTTCGGTGAAGCGGTGAATCACTGATTTTGATGTTAGACCAATTGGTAAAATTTAATTCCTCCATATAAAAAAAGCTTCACTTTGACTTGACACAAAATCTAAAGAAAATAAAAAATGTACTTGAAATTGATGTAGAAGAGAAAGAAAGATGTGAATCATTCAAAGTTTTACATAAAAGAAAGAGTACATTCTCAAAAGAGTCTTCTCTAATAAGGTAGTGTTTTTCCCAAATCAGTTCTCAATAAGTTTTAATTACCTACGTGGTCTTCTATAATTGAGATTTATTCTCAGATAGTCCTTCTTAAATAATGTCATTTAAATGATGATTAATTGGGGGGCATTTTGGTATTTTTTATTAGCTAAATTTATAATAAGTTATTAAAATGATCATTTCTAGTGAAGTGTTTTTCCAAAATGGTTTGTTCTAATTAAAGATGTGTATATAATTTGAACTTTAAAAGAATTTTTTATAAGTTTTTAATAATTAATGGATTATGTATAGTTAATGTATTTTTTAATTTTACATTTAGTTGTATAGAAATGACTTTTTACGAATATACTTTAAATTTAGATGATAGATATACCAAAGTATACTTTCATTAATCATTATTTGAGTTATATTATTTATAAAGGACTATCTAAGAAATAAATCTCAATTATAAAGGACTAAGTAGGTATTATAATTTATTGAAGACTGAATTTGTAAAATACCTTATTACAAATGACCATTTTGAAAATTTACTCTAAAAGAAAAGAAGGTATTTGTTAGAAATGTCCCACAAAGAAAATTAAAAAATTTTTTAGGATGAAAGAAGTAGAATAATGCTAAAATCCAACACGAGTTCTGTCATATATAATTTTATACATGCACAGAGACCATAATCACCATAATCACAGATGATTATTGTCTATATATATAAATTATATATGAAATGTAACGATATTTATAACCTAAAATTTAACAATATTTAATGATATTTATAACCTGACTAAAAACTTAATTAAGAAAAACTATAAATTTAAAATGAAATATCAAAAAACGATTGTCAATACATTTTTCTATGACTGAGAGGAATATAAAGTTATATGAGGAATGCTAGGGGCACACCAAATGGTGTACCCCATTATTATTTTTCTTTCTTGCTTTTATAAGGTGGGGATGAAGTGGGTTACAAATGTGATACTACCATTTGATGTACCCTAGCATTTCTGAAATTATATACTCCGTACTCCGTATATGAATGTCGGCTCCGAAACAACGGTGGTGGGTTCTAGCATGGATCCTAAAATTTAAGAGTAAATTCCATAATTGGTCCTTTATAACAGGGGGGTTTTCATATTTAGTCCTCTATTATCAAATATTACCCTCGTAGTCCTTTTTTTAAGGGTACCTTTCCATAAATGGTCCTTTTTTTGATCTTCTGCCGTGTTGGTGTTAATTTAAAGGCTAAAAATATATTTTGACGTCAACATTATGTCTAGTGACGTGTTCTGATATTGGTTAAGCGGGTAACACAAAAATAATGACTATGATTGTGGGCTAGGATTCTGACGAAAGATCACATTTGTAGACTATAGTTGTCGTAAAAAGCGGCTGGAATTCACAAACGACGCAAACGGAAGAGCCTTTGGAATTGTGTATGACAAAAGAGATATATTATCATTGTGAAATTACACTTTTAGCCCTCAAATTAACACCAACATGATAGAAGATCAAAAAAAGGATTATTTGTGGAAAGGTACCCATAAAAGAAGGACCACATGGGTAATATTTGATAATAGAGGACTAAATAGGAAAACCACCCTGTTATAAAGTACCAATTATAGAATTTACTCAAAATTTAACTATACTTATGACCTAACTAAAAACTTAATTAAGAAAAATTATAAATCTAAAATGAAATGTACCGGTGGATACATTTTCTGACCGAGAGGAATATAAAATTGGCTTTCTCGCGCAGGTAGACGAAGAACCGTCCGCCCAAATACTCTCTCCTCCATGCCAATGGAAGCTCTTCGTTTTGCCCATACTCAATCGCCCCATTTCCATTGCAGAATCTTTACCCCGCCGACATTCAATTACACCGTCAAGTCCTCCGCCGCCGACGTCAGGAGAACAGCTCCCCGAGCTTCTTCAATCTCCGCCGCGGTCTCGAGAGCGGCGGCGGCGGCGGAGAAGAAGCCGCGGCCCGCGGCTTCTCCGGAACTGCCGTTAGTTTCTCCGAGCTCCCTCACTTCTGAGCCGGGATGCGTTCTGCCGAAACTGCCTTCGCACGGCGAGAATGGCTCCCTTGGCCCCAGCGGCATTGAGTATTTGACCGGAATTTTGTCTTCTAAGGTTTACGATGTGGCGTTTGAGTCGCCGCTGCAGTTGGCCACGAATCTCTCCCGGAAGCTGGGGAACAACATCTGGATCAAACGGGAGGATCTTCAACCTGTTTGTCCTTTTTCATTTAATTTTCCCTTCCCTTTTCGGTTTATATTCTGCTCAATTGAGTAGGTTGTATAAATTCATCACTGCTCAATTGAGGCTTTTGGGTAGGTTGTATAAATTCATCACTGATGCCCAGACAAATCTCATAGAATATGTTTGTTCAATGGCTTCGATTAGGTCTTCTCATTCAAACTCCGAGGAGCATATAATATGATGGCCAGACTCCCAAAGGAGCTTCTGGACAGAGGAGTCATATGTTCATCTGCTGGCAATCACGCAGGCGTTGCGTTAGCTGCAAAGAAACTCGGTTGCACCGTTGTAATTGTGATGCCTGTTACTACACCTGAGATCAAGGTCGAGTGTTATTGAATCTTCTCTTCTTATTTGGTTATTAGTTAGTCTAATCATTTTTTCGAAATGTACGTGTGAGCAATGGAAATCAGTAGAAAGACTAGGGGCAACCGTGGTCCGGGTTGGGGACACATATGATGAAGCACAAGCATGTGCCCAAAAGAGGGCCCAAGAAGAAGGACTTACATTTGTGCCTCCATTTGATCACCCCCATGTAATCATGGGACAGGGCACAGTTGGGAAGGAAATCATGAGCCAAGCAAAATGCTGCATAGATGCAATATTTGTGCCGGTTGGTGGGGGTGGGCTCATTGCAGGCATCGCTGCCTATGTTAAGATGGTGGATCCGGACGTGAAGATAATTGGAGTTGAGCCGAATAACGCGAATGCCATGGCTTTATCTCTGCACCATGGTCGTAGAATAATGCTGGACCAAGTCGGGGGATTCGCAGATGGCGTGGCTGTTAAAGTGGTCGGGGAAGAAACGTTCCGTTTGTGCAGGGATTTAATAGACGGGGTTGTCTTTGTTAGCCGGGACGCCATTTGTGCCTCAATAAGGGACATGTTTGAGGAGAGGAGGAGCATTCTAGAGCCAGCAGGGGCACTCGCTCTAGCAGGTGCAGAAGCCTACTGCAAACATTACAACCAAAAAGATCAAAACATAGTTGTTATTGCCAGCGGGGCCAACATGAACTTTGATAGACTAGGACAGGTAACTGACCTAAGCTAGCAGATATTGGTGGTAGACAATGTGAGGGAGGCTGTCCTTGCTACCAATCTCCCAGGAAAACCTGGCAGTTTAAAGAAAATTTGTTCAACTTGTGAGTTGAACATCATTTTTGAAGAACCTCCTAGTTTCATATCTTTCTTTTACTGTAATATTTGTGATTCATACATCCAAAATGTTGACATGTGTCATGGTAATTTTAAATAACATGACATAAGAATAAATTACATGGCATGCTTTAAATTCTCATTCATCATTTATGAAAAAGTTATTTATGATAAACTTTTAAATTTGATGAGTTTAAAAATTAATATTATATATTTTATATTAAAAAAATTATGGACTTTTGAACTTATTGAAAATTATATAAATGAAATAAAAATTATAGTTTTCAACAAAAATTAAATGAATTTTTCATAAAGAAGAAACTAATCATGACTAATCTGCGTTTTTTATATATAAATAGAATAATGATATTAAACTTCTTTTGAGTGAAATATAATTGGAACATAATTTTTCATAGACAAAACATATTATAGTACAAATTGAGATTTGAAAAAAAATATAATCTTCGGATTTATATATTTATAGATTAAAGTACCAAATGACAACATGTATTTTTAAATAGAATTTATTAAAATAGTCTTCTTGTGGATTGAAAAATAAGTATGAATACACCATTTGTTTCAAACTTTGTACATTTGTTTTAACAGTAATAGTAATAATAGTAATAATAGTAATAATAATAATAGTAATAATAATAATAATAATAATAATATGGAGGGGTTCTGCATCTACTTATTGTGGGTGGCTACAGTTGCCACTAGCTTTAATTGGATTACGCTCTGTTCACAAAATTGATTGTTCTTACCTACGATATTTTGATAAATCCTCCCACCTGGAGCTAGTGGCTCAAGAACCATTCTGATAATAGTAATATTATTATTATTACTATTATTATTATAAAAAATACACGCAAATAATTTTCAAATCACTATTGAAAGGAATCAAGAGATGTTAGAAGAAACTAGAAAGAGTATAAAGAAATTTGAAAAAGTTAGAATGATTAAATTGGGAACCTAGAAAGAGTCCAAAGAAACTAAAAGCAGTTGGATAGTAAAAGAAAAAGTTGAAAAATTTTAGAATTTAAGGGTGCATTGTGTTGTAGTAAAATATGTGTCTAGATATTTGTTATCTCCCACATATTTTATTGAAAGTTTAAATAATAAGGAGTATCAAAATACCTTCTACTTAACTGTCATTTAATGGTATTTTTGATAAAAGACTATTTAGAAAACATATCTCAATTATAAAGGTCCACGTTAGTAATATTTGCTTATTGAGGATTACTTTGGAAAATAACCTTGTTAGAAAGGACCATTTTGAGAATTATCCAAAATATTTTGTCATATTTGGTGAAAAAGACTATTTGTGGATAATTTTCCAAAAATTAATGACTATTCATGAAATATCTTATAAATGAAGACTAAATATGAAAATTACATATTATTAGAGACCACTTATGGAATTTACTCAACCTTATACTCCGTATTTAATTAGTGAAGAACTGGAGGAAGGATTATCATCTAAAGTACTCCCCAGTAAAATAGAAAATGGGGATATGGGTCTCGTTTGGCATTAGATTTAGAAATTAGCGTTAGCCTTTTGAAAATGCTATTCGACGGTAGCCTCTAGCGTTAACGTTTTCAGAATGAATCTACAACATTAAAATTTAGTCTAAATCGCTAACGTTAATCGAAAATGCTATTCCCAAATAGGGTCATGTACATCATCTCACAATCTAGTCGGACAGGGGGTGTGGGGTGCCCGAATTGAACGATTTTACCTTTTGGAACAAGAGAATGGGAGATATGTATACTAAAAAAGTCAATCCTTGGTCCGTTATGTGGAAAAGATAACCCATTTTGAAAACAGATTAAACAACTATTTCGGAATATTGTTAGAGGTTAGCGTCAACATTTTGAAAAAGTTATTTACGGTCAATATTTAGCGTTATCGTTTTCAAATTAATAAATTTTTATCCAAAATACTAAAGCTAATCAAAAATATTATTTCCAAATGGGCCATAACAAGAAAAAATAATAGAGTCTGGAAGGCTACCCGGATAGAATCAAATTTTTGTTGGGTCAAGCCTTATACTTCTTTTTTGGGCTACCTATAGTACTCCTTATCTTCCTAAAATATTGTCACAATTAAATTTTTTTGGTCAAACTGTAACATTATTTGACCATGAATTATGAAAAAAGTTTATTTAGTTATATTGTAAATTTAATTAGAATTGGTTTATTTTAAAATATAATTTTGAAATATCAAATTATTATAATATTTAATTATTTTAAATTATACTCCCTCCGTCTCTGAGTGTTTGTCCACTTTCATTTTTGCACACCATCCAATGGACTTCTTTAATTCATTTTATCTTGTAATTTGTATATTAAAAAATTATAAAAATTATATATTAATAATCTATATGTTAAGACGAATCAAACAAGATCACACATGACTATTTTTAGGCTTACACATTGAGAGAATTTGATAAGTCAAAGTGCTTAGATGAACAGTTCCAAAAGTCAAAAGTGGACAAACACTTAGGAACGGACCAAGTATTTAATTTATTGATAAAGAGTGATACAATTTAACAAAAAAAAGTCAAATTGTGGCAATCTTTTAGGAATAGAGGGAGTACTATACATAAAAGTTTTAGGACACTATTAGATTTAGTTCTTTTAGGTTAGAAAAATGAAATTTTAAATTTTCTAATTTCTTCAAAGTTCTTTCAACTCCTAGTTTCTTCCGACTTTTTACAGTTTCTTTTAACAACTTAAAAAAGATATTTATATATGATAAATATAAAATATCATTATACCACCTCAAACACAAACAATTATATAAAAAATTTAATACAGAATTAGATTTTTCTTACATATTTATTTCGATGATCATTTACTTAAATAACTTTTTAACATTTAAACTCTTCCAACATTTTTCAATTTCTACTAGCTTTTTCCAATGTCATATTTTCATAATGCAAACTCATATTCTGGGATAAAAACATGAAACTCATATTTTAATACTTTCTCTATTTAGGATAATTTTTTTGAATTATTTTTGCTCTCTTTTCAAAGAAGCTCCTACTAATTTCCTGCCCCACCGGCCCACCTGCCCCGCCCCCTATACTATCTTAGCCACCCCTTCCACTGCCCCTCCTACCCATGGGTGGTACGGATGGTGTGCAGTCAACCACACAATGCCCCTAAAATTTTAGAATCTCATATTTTTAAATTTGGCAGTAATTTTAAAGCATGAGTATTCTAAAAAAAAATAAATGATTAGAATTGAAATTATAGTTTTTTTGTACAAAAGTTGTTCGGTGAAGCAGTGAATCACTGATTTTGATCTTAGACCAACTGATAACATTTAATTCCTCCGTCTAAAAAAAGTTTTCACTTTGTCTTGACATAAAGTCTAAAGAAAATAAAAAAATTATACTTGAAAATGATGTAGAGAATAGACCTGGCAAAATTTGACCCGACCCGTTATTAATCCGAAACCCGACCCGAAATTAGCGGGTTTTGAACATTGATTTTGCGACCCGAACCCGAAATGACCCGAACCCGAATACCCGTTAAATTTTTGGGTCAGAACGGGTCGGGTCAAGTTTGACCCGGCGGGTTATGCACTTAATTGCTTATTTTTATTAGTTATTTAGTTTTATATATTCATTTAATATATATATATATATCGTTCTTCCACCGTTCGTCGATATTAGATGTCGACTCAATCAAAATGGTGAGAAGACACAAGATCAATAGTGGAATTTTTAATCCTATTTTGTCGTCTTCAATTGCTCCTACGTGTAACTCAAGTTTTAATTCTTTTCTTTTGTTTTGGTATGGCGCAAGAATCTCAATTTTTTATAATGCATTTATATTTTTGGGTATGTTGAAAGAATCTTCATTTTTTTCATATACTGTAATTTTTTTGGTATGCTGCAAAAAGGTGATTTTTTTGGGTATATTGTAATTCTCTTTTGATATGTTGCGAATAGAACTGCAAACTTTTATGATTTCGTTCTTTGTTTTGAATAATGTTCGGATCACATGATCTCTAAATAGCAAAAATTTTAATTTTTAAATACGCCTCTTAACCCGTTTGGTCAACCCGAACCCAATAGCTCTGGGTCATGAACAAGCACTCTTAGACCCGAACCCAAAGTGACCCGAACCCGAAATAACCCGAACTCGATTATACCGAACCTGAACCCGACCCCGACCGTTTTGCCACGTCTAGTAGAGAAAAAAGAAAGATGTGAATCATTCAAAGTTTTACATAAAAGGAAGAGTAAATTTCTAAAGTAGTACTCCCTCCGTTCCAAAAAGAATTTCTTTCTTTGATTAACATGCAAAACCCCGTAAATTTTAAAATGATTTTATTTGTAAATTGGTAACGAAATAACACATAAAAAATTATATTTAAAAACTACATCGAAAACACTACAAAATAAGAGGTGACAAAAATATTTTATTTTATCAAATGATCAATGAAAACACGCAAACAAATAAGAGTTATCGAGAGACCGGAATAGTAAACAGGAAAGACTTTTTGGGATAGATGGAGTATTTTCTAATGATGTGTTTTTTTCCAAATCAGTTCCCAATAAATTTTAAATACCTATGTGGTCCTCTATAATTGAGATTTATTTCTTAAATAATCCTTCGTAAATAATGCTATTCAAATGATGACTAATTGGGTGGGGGGTATTTTGGTATTCTTTACAGCTAAATTTAGAATAAGTTATTAAAATGTTCATTTCTAATGAAGTGTTTTTTCCCAAACTAGTTTTTTCTAATTAAAGATACGTATTTAATTCGAATTTTAAAAGATTTTTTCTAAGTGTTTAATAATTCATAGATTATAAACAGTCAATGTATTTTATTAATTTTTCATTTAATTATATAGAAATGACTTTTTGAGAATATACTTTAAACTTAGATGATAGAAATTCCAAAGTACACTTTATTAATTATTATTTGAGTTACATTATTTACGAAAGACTACCTGAGGAATAAATCTTAATTATAAAAGCCAAGTATGTAATTAGAACTGATTGAAGACAAAATTGAGAAAATACCTTATTACAAAAGATCATTTTAGAAATTTTTCTAAAAGAAAAGAAGGTATTTTTTAGAGATGCCCCACAAAGGAAATACAAAGTTTTTTAGGATAACAGAAATAGAATAATGCTAAAATCCAAGAGAGTACTCTCATACTCCGAGTATATAATTTTATACCTACACAGACAATAATCATAAATGATTATCGTCTTTATATATAAGTTATATACTCTCTCCATCCCTAAAAACACAGGAGGTTATGATTTCTAAAGGATTTAAGAGAAATGTATTTTGATGTTGAGTTTTTAAAAATATCGTTTGATGTGATAAGTAGGTTAAAGATTAGTAGGTATAAAAATGACTTTTTAATAGAATTATATCTTTTTTAGGAAAGATGAAAAAAAGAGAGAAAGATTTTCAAAAACGAAGAGTATAGAGTTTCCCTAAAATTTAATGATATTTTTAACCTAACTAAAAACTTAATTAAAAAAAACTATAAATTTAAAATAATGAAATGTAGATACATTCGGTGACTGAGACTAATATAAAATTGGCTTCTAGCAGGGAGACGAAGAACCATCCTGCCGAATACTCTCTCCATGCCAATGGAAGCTCTTTGTTTTGCGCATACTCAATCGCCCCATTTCCATGGCAAAATCTGTATCCCGCCGACATTCAATTACACCGTCAAGTCCTCCGCGGCTGACGTCAGGAGAACAGCTCCCCGAGCTTCAATCTTCGCCGCTCTCTCCAGAGCGGCGGCGGCGGCGACGGAGGTCCTGCCCGCTACATCTCCGGCCACGGAGAAGAAGTCGCGGCTCGCGCCTTCTCCGGAACTGCCGTTAGTTTCTCCGAGCTCCCTCACTTCTGAGCCGGGATGCGTTCTGCCGAAACTGCCTTCGCCCGGCGAGAATGGCTCCCTTGGCCCCAGCGGTATTGAGTATTTGACCGGAATTTTGTCTTCTAAGGCTTACGATGTGGCGTTTGAGTCCCCGCTGCAGTTGGCCACGAATCTCTCCCGGAAGCTGGGGAACAACATCTGGATCAAACGGGAGGATCTTCAACCTGTTCGTCCTTTTTCATTTAATTTTCCCCTCGCTTTTCGGTTTATATTCTGCTCAATTTTTTTACTTCTTCTTTGTCCTGTAATCATGTCCACTGCTCTGTAAAGCCAAAATTCATCACCCTGTTCTTAAACTTTTTTATTCACTAAATATGATTTGATAATGTCTAGTAGAAAGAATAATGATTAATAATAATGACTTATGGTACTACATTGGGAAATAAAAACATATGATCGTATGATCTCATGTTTTAGTCTTATTTAGGTAAATTCACCTTCTAAAAATGGTGTTCCCAAACAAGGCTTCTAAAAATGGTGTTCCCAAACAAAGCTTCCGGGTAGTTGTATAAATTCATCACTGATGCCCAGACAAATCTCATTGAGTAAGTTTGTTCCATGGCCTCAATAATGGCAGGTCTTCTCATTCAAACTTCGAGGAGCTTATAATATGATGGCCAGACTCCCAAAGGAGCTTCTGGACAGAGGAGTCATATGTTCATCTGCTGGAAATCACGCTCAAGGCGTTGCGTTAGCTGCAAAGAAACTTGGTTGCACTGCTGTAATTGTGATGCCTGTTACTACACCTGAGATCAAGGTTCAGTCTTATTGAATCTTCTCTTCTTATTTGGTTATTAGTTAGTCCTTTTTTAGTTATTCTCTAACCTAGCTAATCATTTTTTAAATGTGTGAGCAGTGGAAATCAGTAGAAAGACAAGGGGCAACTGTTGTCCGCATTGGGGACACATATGATGAAGCACAAGCATATGCCAAAAAGAGGGCCCAAGACGAAGGGCTTACATTTGTCCCTCCATTTGATCACCCTCATGTAATCATGGGACAGGGCACAGTTGGAAAGGAAATTATGAGCCAAGCAAAATGTCCGATAGATGCAATATTTGTGCCGGTTGGTGGGGGTGGGCTTATTGCAGGCATCGCTGCCTATGTTAAGATGGTGGATCCGAATGTGAAGATAATTGGAGTTGAGCCAAATAATGCGAATGCTATGGCTTTATCTTTGCATCATGGTCATAGAATAATGCTGGACCAAGTCGGAGGTTTTGCAGATGGCGTGGCTGTTAAAGCAGTCGGGGAAGAAACTTTCCGTTTATGCAGGGATTTAATAGATGGGGTTGTCTTTGTTACCCGTGATGCCATTTGTGCCTCAATAAAGGTCAGCAACCCCCCTTCTCTTTTGGATTCTGTATTCCATTAGGCCCATATGCCTTATTATTACAAGGAAACTACAAATCATTCTCTACATTTTGGGGGGTTGTACATTGTTGGTTATCCCACCTCGGTTCCTTACATCGTCGGAGTTTAGTAGACAAATGATGTGATGAAATGAGAATCCGCATCCGTTGAGATCGAATCTAATATATATGTGCGATGCAAACTTCATATTTTAAAGATCTTTTGGGGAGAATTGGACTCAATTTAACTGGTGTGATACCCAAAACTCATGTATTGATATTTTTTATAAGCATGAAGTGCATAAAATAATACAACAACCCAGTCTGGGAAGTGCATAAAGTAATTAGACAAAGAATTGATTTGGAGAGCTTTATTTAACTACTTTTGTTTATTTTTTCATTGTAGGACATGTTTGAGGAGAAAAGGAGCATTCTAGAGCCAGCAGGTGCACTTGCTCTAGCAGGTGCAGAAGCATACTGCAAACATTACAACCAAAAGGATCAAAATATAGTTGTTATTGCCAGCGGGGCCAACATGAACTTTGATAGACTAGGACAGGTAACTGACCTAGCAGATATTGGTAGACAATGTGAGGCTGTCCTTGCTACCAATCTTCCAGAAGAACCTGGCAGTTTTAAGAAATTTGTTGAACTTGTGAGTTGAACATCATTTTTGAAGAACCTGGTAGTTTCAAATTTTTAATGCCTGTATTATTAGTCACTTTATGCTTGATGAATATCCATGGTACTTGCAGTTGGGTCCTATGAACATTACTGAATTCAGATACCGATACAATTCTGATAAAGGAAAAACTTTGGTCTTATACAGGCAAGTGTTCTATGATGATTCTTTGAGGTTATCTCTTATTATATTATAAAGGATGTCTAATGATAATAAATTTTCCTTGACCTGATACGTTTAATTTGGTTACTGTCTTTTTATCCAACTCTTGAATTGTATTATAAAAAAATTCATTTTGTAATTTGGAATATTTTAGTGTTGGTCTTCATACGAGAGTGGAACTAGCCTCTAATGATAATAAATTTTCCTTGACCTGATACGCTTAATTTGGTTACTGTCTTTTTATCCAACTCTTGAATTGTATTATAAAAAAATTCATTTTGTAATTTGGAATATTTCAGTGTTGGTCTTCATACGAGAGTGGAACTAGCCTCAATGATGGAGAGGCTGACTCTTTCCCAATTTCAAACCATTAATTTAACAGATAATGACCTTGTCAAGGATCACCTACGCCATTTGGTAATACCTCTTTCCTTGTCACTGTTATGACATAGTACTTGTGTTGGTGGTACGATTATATGGGTTTCACCTTACCCATGGAATGGCCTTTCAGATTGGTGGTCGATCATGTGTACAAGATGAACTTCTTTGCCGGTTTGTTTTCCCAGAGAGGCCCGGAGCTCTAATGAAATTCTTAGACGCATTCAGCCCACGTTGGAATATAAGTTTGTTCCATTACCGCTCACAGGTTGCCATTTCTAACCACTTGGAATTCCAGTTTTACTTTCTCTTGATAACTTTGAACTGATGTTTGGTTTCTTATTCCCAATTGAAATGCCAAAGGGAGAAAGTGGTGCAAATGTATTAGTTGGCCTTCAAGTTTTGAGCAAGGAGATGAACGAGTTCAAGCATCGTGCAAACAAATTGGGTTACGAGTATGCCGTGGAAACACATAATGAGGCTTTCCAACTCCTTATGCATTGAAGAGGTCTATTTTTCAGACCATAACGATCTTATGGCTGTGAAAAAAATAAACTTTTTTCTGGGGCAATCATATATCCATATGGCTGTGTAAACCCCATTGTGCCTATTTGATAAAGCTTATCATTCTTAGCAAGTATTCTTATAGCACAATCTTGTGTTTTTAAATGGCCTGTAATCTACATCTGTGATGTGTTTTTTTGGTTATTGGAACTTATAATGTGCCCCTTAATAGTCTGTATTTGGTGTAATATAATGTGTAAACCCTTCATTTGGGTGTTTTGCGGTATCTCTTGTCTTCCAAAAAGATGTGGCATGCACAAAATTCTAGGATTTGATTTGGAGTTGAGCAAAGAGTTTTTTGAAGGGCAAAAGAGTGATTTAGGAACTTTAGTGAGAAGCATTGAAGTTCAAGCAGTCTGCTTTTTTTTTAGTTTGACCTCTTTTGCTGTAGCTTGCAGTTGCCATAACTCAAGTTCTTGATAGTTGATAGGGGAGATGGCATTCGTATTAAATTCTTTGCAGCAGATTTTTAATGCAATTGACTTCTTAGGATTTGTTGCACAAAAAGGGAAAACTTAGTGACTTGCAAAAACAAAAGTTAAACTGGACCATGGTAAATTGAATGTTTGGAATAAATAAATAATATTGATAATCTTTAGCTGGCATCATGGAATTTAAATCAAACATTTTTTTTTGAAATTGTATGAATATGAGGGAAGGGTGGGTAACTCAAGGGTACCTTAGGGATAAACTTCTCACTTTAGAGTCTTACCATCCATAGAGAGCACACAGCCAAAGAAAGAAGAGCAACAAGCAAGAAAAAAAACTTAACTAAGGAAAGAAATGAGGCTTAGAGGGAGTGTTTGGGGAGGGTTTCTTGTTACTTCATCATCATTTGTGTTTGCTTTAATGGCTGTGGTGAAAGGGGATCCATTGGTGCCCTCTCTGTGCATCTTTGGAGACTCAGTGGTTGATGCTGGAAACAACAACTTCTTGAACACATTGATCAAGGCAAACTTCCCTCCCTATGGAAGAGACTTTGCCAATCACACCCCCACTGGAAGGTTCTGCAATGGCAAACTGGCCACAGATTTCACTGGTAAGTAGCATCTCTCTCACTCTCCCACCACATTAAGATGGGATGTTTTTTTTTTGAAGAACACAGACACAAACGTCTACCTAAATAGCGGACAAAGGCGCTAATACAAACATGTTTTTTTCCACTGTTGTTTGGACACCAGCTGAGTTTCTAGGATTCACATCATATCCACCTGCTTACCTCAGCCAGGAAGCTAATTATGGAAACAACATTCTTGGTGGTGCCAACTTCGCATCTGCCGCTTCTGGTTACTATGACCGCACTCCTCAACTATATGTAAAACTCTTTCTATTTATTTTAGTGTTTGTTATGAGATGTTATTGCCACAATTGCCAGGATTCCAATTTGATTTACTTATTTCCTTCCTTTTTTGCACTTCTGATTTTTGGTAGAGAGATGGTAGGAGTAGATCTCTACCATATTTAGTGAATCTCCCGTGAACCGAACACAGAAATATACAAGAATATTATTTCTGTTATTATTTTATCATGGCATCGGAGCAAATTATTTTATTATTTGTGTCATTTAAATGTTTTTCAAAACTCCTAAATGAAAATGGGATTTAAATTTTGCAGCACGCCATCACACTTGAACAGCGGTTGGGGTACTACAAGGAGTGGATGAACAGAGTTGTGAGCTTGGCAGGGAGGGATAAGGGCAAAACCGTAATCTCAGATGGAATCCAGGTTGTGAGTGCAGGGACTAGTGATTTCATCCAGAATTACTACATTAATCCAATGCTTAATAGAGCTTACACTCCTGATCAGTTCTCTAATCTCCTCATCTGTTCATACGCTCGCTTCATTCAGGTTTTTATTGTCGTATTAATCGTGGGATTCCATAACAAAACCAATTAGTAATGTTAGTAGTTTTTCATATGATTTTATTTAAGTGGGATTTTATGTACACTATTTATATTTCACAGAGTCTATATGGTTTGGGAGCCAGGAGGATTGGAGTGACAAATTTACCCCCAATGGGTTGCTTGCCCGCGTCGATTACGTTGTTCGGTGGGGGAAGCAACGGGTGCATTGAGAGGATGAATGAAGACGCAGTTTCCTTCAACACAAAGCTGAAGAGTGCATCCCAAAGCTTAAAGAATAAGCTCCCTGGCCTCAAACTTGTTGTCTTTGACATCTACAACCCACTGCTCCAACTCATCAAAACCCCATCCCAAGACGGTACTCTCTCTGTTCTCATTTCGATTTTTAGTCAACATTTTTAAATATTGACCATAAATTACAGAAAAATACATTGAATTGTGATATAAATTCAATATGCATAGATTCATTTTGAAACGTAGTATTGAAATACCTTATTTTTATAATCTGAGTTTATACTCCCTCCGTCCAAAAAGAAGTCTCTTAGTTTGACTTGACACAAAGTTTAAGAAAAATAAATTGTGTGGCTAAAAGTGATACATAGGAGAGAAAAAGATGGTGAACCACTCGAAATTTTCCAAAAACGGAAAGAAAAACTTTTTTTGGGACGTCCCAAAAAGGAAATAAAAAGTCTTTTTTTGGGATGAAGGGAGTATAAAAATAGAAATACTAATGGGCAAAATGGTTTATTAGAGACCGTGAAATATCAAGAAGAAAGATATAGGATGGAGGGAGCTAGTAATGACATATTTCAGATACCCAAGGGCATTGTCAGCAACTGCTCGAAGCGGATTAAAATGTTTGAATCCGCTTCACTCTCTCGAACACATACCGAGGAGCATTAGCTGAGATGGAGCTTTGAAATATTTTGAGATTCTGTTGTCAAAATAATCACTTCAATTTTTTCTAAAGATTCAAAATAATCACTGAGTACATTTTTTTCTTCTAATTTTTTGTTGAATTGGTTCCTTAACAACAGGGTTTTTAGAGTCAAGGAAAGCATGTTGTGGGACGGGGATGGTGGAGACGTCGTACTTTTGCAACGCGAGATCGATAGGGACGTGCTCGAACGCGACGGGATATGTGTTCTGGGACGGGTTCCATCCCTCCCAAGCTGCTAATCTGATCCTTGCACAGACCCTTCTGTCCCAAGGCTTAGACCTCATCTCTTAAATGTATTAGTGTACTAATTAACATGTTACTGTGTGTGAATTGGTTATTATGTTGTGTGTAGGGTGGTTTAAGTGATACTATTTGATTATCATGTTTGAACATGATACATTAATGTTCATCTATTTAATTTTTGAATTTCTTGCTGCTTTTTATTTTATTTTATAAAGAGAATAATATTTGGTTTATGTTTTGTTGCATGGATGAATAGGGTAGTCAAATGAATTTTAGGTGTCATTAGTTTTAATTTTGGGTAGGACTAAAATGGATCACATACATTTGCTTGGAATGGAATTGAAATCACACAGTGACCTTCTATATATGGAGTATAATTTAATTCCTAAATTAATAAATTAATGTCTATTTTTAGACTCGTATTTATTATTGTTTTTGTAGTTATGTGCGAAAGTTTATGTGTAAATTAGATATTACTCCTTTATCCCTTCTCTCTAAATAATGTTCCCATTTAAGCCATGTGTAGTCATAAAAACCCTTCAAGGGGGTTATGTGGCAATTATGTTATCTAGAAACCTTACTCCCTCGTCCCAAATTATTTGCCACATTTGCTTTTTCAACAGTCGCGGAAACTTTTGTTTACTTCTACGTTTTCATTGGTTATTTAATAAAATAAAATATTCTTGACACCTCTTATTTTGAAGAACATTTCATGTAGTTTTTTGATATATAATTTTTATTTTTTATTTCTTTACCAATATGTAAATAAAATGAATTGAAAAAGCTTGATATTTTGCCTCGGTAATAGAAATGTGACAAATAATTTGGGACGGAGGTAGTATAACATAAGACTGATAGGTGTGATGTTCTTGTCACGCCTATCACGTCATCCCATTCGGCGTCACGTCAGCTTTTCTCTTTCGCATTACAACCCATCACTGGAGAGCAGTGTGGACTACACCCAATTTTTTGCATTTATTTAAATCTAAATTTACTTTAAAAAATTAAATAAAATTAACATTAAAACTTAAATTAATTTGACAAGATAAAAAATAGGCAGAGCTAACTTTGAAAATATCTAATGAAAAAATTACCAATTAAAAAGGTACAAATAAAAACAACTTAAAAATTAAAAAACTAAAAACAAAAAGAGGCTCCAAAAAAATAAAAAAGAAGTTGTGGAAGCCATGAACAAAAAAGAAGAAGATCAGAGGACATAGGCGACAGAACAAAAAAAAAGGAAATGAAGTGTGATGACCGTGATGAGCATCACCACCATCACGGTCACTGGGGAGGGGGTGGTGTTCCGTCCCCATCATGCACTGAGATGGCTGGCTACATCAGCCATCACGGCGCATCATACCACCTACACCACCGATCAGCCTAATAGTTGTGTATCCCTAAAGCCCTGAAACCCTCCTCTCATCATTATACAATTTCTAGATTTATACTTTTTATATTAAATTAAATATGAGAGAGGTCTCATTATTTAAACTAAAAATAGATTTCTACACCAATATTTATATAAACCAAAAATAACGTCGGTCGAACATAATTATTCGAAATGCAAGACTGGTCTCAAGACATATTATGGTCTCATTACAAGATTTTCAGAAAAGTACATCAAGCACACATATGATCTAAAATTTGGTAAACTGACACCCCAAACAAGCTATGGTCTTTTTAGACCTATTTGAAACCATTGAAGTGCTTTATTGGTCGACTTTTGACATTGTCGATGTTGAGGTCTCGGGATGAGATGAAAAAAAGGGCACTTCAACCCTAACACGTTAGGTTGTACTCGAGTATGAACTTTTTTTTTTCTTTTTACACTAAACGACAATTAACAATATAGTAATAAACATAGTAAAATCATAGTATTAAAAATAGGTACTAGTTTTAAAAAGAAAATACATACCGTAAACTTTTTTAATTGGACTACTTTTTAAATAATAGTGTCATTTTTTATTATCAAAATAAAATCATTATGTTGTGACAATGTAACACTATACATTGATATTCTACAATATTGGCATATTATATGTATGGTAGGCATATCATATACTCCGTAGTACGATTAGATGTACCGTACATCAGGACAAACTTATAATTAAAAAATGATTCATAATGAATATTACGTTGTTTGAGAATGAACACTACGTTGAGCATACTTGAAATGAAAAATATGTTGTTCGAAAATATATACCCGGAGTATTATAATTCTAATGAACAAATGTGTGAAAATAAGCACTACGTTATTTCAAATAAATACTACTACATTAATTTAAAATAAACATTTACTAGATGTACTTAGTACTAGGTATATCCGGATATACGATATAAGCTCTCTACATTTTTTTAATATTATTCCCTCCGTCCCGGAGTTTTTGTCTAATTTTGACTTTTTTCAGTCAAAATTGGTAAATTTTGATTTCACATTAAATAAAAATTGTATTAATATTGATATAAAAATAGTTTTAATAGATTTATGATATAAAATATTTTCAAAATTTTATTATACGTAGTATATAATTAATATACAATATATTTTTATTTAATTATAGATTAAAGTTTAAAAACGGGTGACTGAAAAAAAATTAAAACTAGATAATACAGTACATATTAGGATTATTGAAAAAAACCCTTTGAATTTGGCACTGAATTTGTTTTTGAAAGAGAAGATAATTCATTCCCCCGGTTGAATTTGCTCGCAATAGTCAATACTGCTTCTTCTTCTTCTCCGGAACCAATAGGAATTTTAAGTTCAGGTCACATGCTCCGGCGCTTTTCCTCTCCATGGCCGCCGGCATTCATCCTCCCGCGACGATATTCTCCGCCTCCACTGCATTTCTTCCAGCCACCACTCTAAACTCTCATTTCCTCTTTCAACACCACCAACTCCACCCGATTTCACCTCTTTCTGTAGTAAAACCCAAACAAAAACTCAATCGCATCTCCATCCAGCAACCCCCATCCCGTTCCGACCCACCGAGTAATTCTTCAGTCTCCGGACACTCTGACCCGCAAGCCATCGATTGGGCCGATTTGCTAAAGCTTGCCGTCCGCCGCGGTGACGTTGAGGTAACTAGAGTCGTACATGGCGCGGTTCTTAAGCTGGAAGAGGATACACGTTTGTCCAATGCTCTGATTTCAGCTTATCTGAAATTGGGTTTTGTAAACCATGCACACAACGTGTTTGATTCTATTCCTGACCCGGACGTTAAGTCCTACACTGCAATTATATCAGGTTTTGCAAAATCCAATCGTGAAACTGAAGCAATGGAGCTTTTCTCTGAGATGAGAAGCTTGGGTATTGAACCCAATGATATCAGCTTAGTTGCACTGTTGACTGCTTGCATTCGTTCCCAGAATTTGGAGTTGGGTCGCCAAGTTCACGGCTTAGCGATCAAATTGTGCTATCTGGATTGCATTCATCTTGTCAATGGGCTTATGGGACTGTATGGTAAATGCGGCCGTTTAGATTTTGTCATTAAATTGTTTCATTCTTTGTCCAAACGTGACATTGCTTCTTGGAACACTGTCATTTCATGTTTGGTGAAGGAGTCGATGTATGACACTGCCTTTGATGTATTCATTGATATGCAAGAAACCGATTCTTTGAGAGCTGACTATATCACACTCTCCACTCTTCTGACTGCATGCTTTGAGTGTCTCGCGATAAGGAAAGGTCAAGCACTCCATGCCCACGCTCTTAGAATCGGATACGAAGGCAGTGTGAGTGTGAACAATGCACTCATCAAATTTTACACAAAGTGTGGTAACATAAGCAGTGTGATGGCTTTGTTCGAGAAGATGTGTGTAGAAGATGAGTTTACTTGGAATGAAATGATCACCGCGTATATGGAAGCCGGCCTTGTCGATTCCGCTGAGAAACTCTTCAACCAACTGCCCAAGAAAAATGCGGTTTTATACAATGCCCTCTTAGCTGGATTTTGTCGAAACGGTGAAGGCTTGAAAGCGATGACCTTGTTTCATAAAATGAGACATGAAACATTGGAGGTATCTGGTTTCACCTTAGTCAGTGTTGCAAACGCGTGTGGGTTGATGATGGATAGGAAGTCAAGTGAGCAGATACACGGATTTATTCTCAAATCTGGCCTTTTAAGGTCAAATGATCATGTCCAGTCAGCATTGCTCGACATGTGTGTCCGTTGTGGGAGAATGGAAGATGCTGAAAAGATGTTCCATAGACTTCCACCGGAGCATGATAGATTGATCTCTTTTACATCAATGGTGTGCGCATATGCTCACAGCGGACGTCCAGAAGAAGCAGTTTCTCTATTTTGTGAAATGATATCCGAAGGATTATCTCCACTGATTGATGATGTTTCATCGGCTACTATTCTTGGTGTTTGTGGAACTCTTGGGCTACACAACTTAGGGAGAAACCTGCATTGTCATTCCTTGAAACTTGGGTTTCTGTCTGATGTAACTGTTGGGAATGCCGTAATCAGCATGTATGCTAAATGTGGTGAATTGGGAGGTGCAGTCAAGACTTTCGAGCTTATGACAGCCCATGATTTAGTTTCGTGGAATAATCTGTTAGCTGGTTATGTCCTTCATAGACAGGGAAATGAAGCCTTGGATACTTGGGCCAGAATGAAAATGCAAGGAGTAACTCCAGATTCATTTACATGTCTCCTCATTCTGTCTTCTTATAGACACACTACAAGAAATTCAGTCAATCTCTGTCGAAACTTCTTTTCTTCGATCAGGCCCATCTATGGTATTGTTCCAGGCCCAGTGCACTATGCGTGTTTGGTGAGTGTGCTTGGGTTTTGGGGTCTGCTTCAAGATGCAGAGGAAATCATCAAAAGAATGCCTTTTGAGCCAAACGCTTCCGTTTGGCGTGCATTGTTTGACAGTTGCAGAATACATTCGGATTCAACCATCGGGAGAAGGGCAATGAAGGAAATTCTTTCTCTGGAGCCACACGACCCGGCCACCTTCATACTAAATTCGAACCTTTATTCAGCTTCTGGAAGATGGAACTGCTCGGAGCTGGTGAGGGCGGAGATAAAGGACAAGGGGTTCTGGAAGATTCCAGGTCAGAGTTGGATCAACCATGACAACAAGCTTCACTCCTTTTTAGCCAGAGACAGATTGCACCCACAGTCAAAAGACATAAACAGTGGACTGAGGATATTGTTGTTGGAGTGTATGAAAGTGGGATATGTTCCAGACACAAGATGTGTTCTCCATGATGTGGAAGAGTATCAGAAGAAAGAATTCTTGTTCTATCACAGCTCAAAACTGGCTGTCACTTGTGGACTTCTGATGACGAAACCCGGAAAACCTGTGTTTGTAGTGAAGAACATCCTTCTGTGTAGGGACTGTCACACGTTCTTTAAGTTTGTTTCGGTCGTCACAAAGAGAGAGATTCGTGTCAGAGACAGGTCGGGTTTTCACTGTTTCCTAAACGGTAAATGCACTTGCAATGACCGTTGGTAACCTTCTTCCTGATTTAGATTTAGAGTTTCCTCTTCCATTTGTTCATGAGTTGCTAATTCAATTTACTTTTCAAATCCAACAGTGATTCTCCAGCCGCCCTCTCACCACATTTCATTGAAATGCTCCAGGGGGAGGAGTGGAAAGATGTAGGGGATTGTGTTTGTGGGATGTGTTAATCCGTTTTAGTTTTAGACTCAATGTAGAGGGTATTTGGGGTTGCGTTAAAAAACTGTTTATGAGCTTTTGTTTCACTAAAATAATGTTTGTCGTGTTTGTTAATCTGCTTCTGCTTAGAGATTATGAATTCTGTAGTCTAAAATTGGCTTCAGAAATGCTTTTAAGCAAAGTTAAAAATATTTGTTTTTGCTTCTACTTAAAACTTCTGCGTTTTTACAATCTACCACACTCTCAGACACCCTCTTGTAGTATCGAAAGGAAATTGCTAACATTAGTTTTGAGGGAATTTGGAATTGGAAGTGGTTGAGTGAGTATATAGATTGACTCATCTAATTTGAATGAATTGAATATTAGCAACTTATTAATTGTTACAAAAAAATCGTGACAAAACAATTTGGTAATTGTTAAGTGGTCAAATTATTATTGGTAATTATTATATGTGAGAATTAAGTTTGGTGGTGGTTAAGTGACTATTTTGTGTCTAAACATGTGTTTGCATTTGTTACGAACGTTCAACCTCACAATGATATTAAAAATACGGAGTATTAAACATACAAGATTTAGTGAAGAACGACTTTTATTTCACAAGAGAAGTCAAATAATAATTGGTTGTATATAGATATATTGACCTCAGAAAGGTCGTATTTATACTAGTAAAAAAGATCCGCCGTCACTATATATATATATATATATATATATATATATATATATAGAATTTGGTTCTGGTGAGAATGTGATCTAATGAAAGAAATAAGAATGAATCTGGTGCATTAGATTGTAAGATCTAAGGGTCAGGATTGCATAAAAAATAGGTGCACCAAAATTGTTTGAAAATGCAACATGTTGAAATGCACCAAAATCCCTTGAAAATGCACTATCTCAAAATCTGAGTGCAGGATGCAATCTGAGCCGCACGATGCATCAGATCCAAAGGCTAGATTTTATTCTTATTTCTTTCACCAAGGTGCATTCTCACCTGAACCGACCCCTATATATATATATATATATATATATATATATATATATATATATATATATATATATATATATATATATATATATATATATATATATATATATATATATATATATATATATATATATATATATATATATATATATATATATAAGAAAAATGGGGAGTAAAAAGAAAATTTGATACGACATCGAGTTGGGCAAAAAGAAAATAAGGAGGTATGCTACATACTCTATAGTCTTAAAAGTTGAGATTATTTCACATAATATTAAATAATGAGATTATTTTTATAACACCACAAAACGATATAAGTTGGCCGAAGGAGTAATATTTTTGAAAGACCACATAAAGATAATTTTAGATGATCTTACCAAAATAGTATGGTAATTAATTACTTATATACTCCCTCCATTCCATATTAACTGTCCATTATGACTTTCTTGGTACATTGTGAAATGAATGAATGTAGACATACTTTATGTCTACATTCATTCATTTCTCAATGTACCAAGAAAGTTATAATGGACAGTTAATATGGAATGGAGGGAGTACTCCGTATGCTTTATGAGATCCCCACAGATTAAGCAATTGAATTTTTAGATCTTGTTTCCATAATATAATTAGGAGTAAATTCCATAAAAGGTCCCCAGTTATAGGTCGTTTTACATATTTAGTCCCTACATATCAAATATTACTAATTTAGTCCCCAATTATTATATTTATTTCCATGAATGGTCCTTTGTTAACATTTTCGTTAAAAACGTGGGTAAAATTATAAATTCACACTCTTTTTTCTCCTCAATTAAGCTTCCCTCCTCCCTTGCACACCTTTCTCAAACCCGTCGCTGAGTTTCTAGCTTTGAACTCTAAACCAAAATCATCACTCTTCTCTCAATTGTTTGTCTAACTGGAGGAACGATCATTTAAGTTTTGGGTTTAAGAGATTCAAACTCAGCGATGAGTTTGGAAAAGAGTATGAGAAAATGGAGGAAGCTTAATTGAATAGAGAAAGAAGTATGAATATACAATTTTGTCTACGTTCTTAACGGAAATGTTAACAAAGGACCCTTCGTGGAAATAAATATAATAATTGGGGACTAAATTAGTAATATTTGATATATAGGGACTAAATATGTAAAACGACCTATAACTGGGAACTTTTTATATAATTTACTCTATAATTAGAATCACTTGCTCCTGAAGTAATTGCCAAACATCTCATACCAGACCAGAGCCGTCTCCGAGAAATCAGGGACCCTGGATCTCACGGAGAAAATGAGTCATTGTGTCATAATAAAATAAAGTCTATCAATTAAATTTTTTTAACAATAAAAAATATTATAGTAATAAGAATAATAAAATGTCAAATTCATAGTCTTATAAATTTATAATTCATAGTCTTAACCTGTTTTTTTATAAATATATACTCCCTCCGTCCCAAAAAGATTTACACCTTTCAAAAAAATTGTGTCCCACAATCTCCTACCCATTTCTATTAAAAAACCACTTTTACCCCTTACTTTTTCAAACCCTATCTATCACATCATACTTTTTTCCTAATAATCTACACATCACATCCTACTTTTACCCATCACATCAATGGTATTTTTGGAAAGTCAACACAAAATTATCTCTCCCTTAATTTCTACTTTAGTCAAAATGGGTAACACTTTATGGGATGGAGGGAGTATAATATATATAGAATATATACAAAAGAAGAAAAAAAGTGGTGCCCCCTCCAAAATTGGGCCTGTCCAGGTGGCCACCTTGCCCCTGGCTTGAGCCGGCCCTGTACCAGACGATTTGAATTTAATTTATTTAAATATTTGTGTTGATTGAAAAAATAAAATTATGCTAATATATATTTAAAATTTTCATTAATATTCTTTATAAAACATAAATTTATTTGATTATGATTTTTTGATATATGCTTATTTTTTTGAATTAAAAAAAAGTTCTCTAACGTTGTTTTGTGTGCTAAAGATCAAATTAAATAACTGCACATAGTCTAAATTTAGAAATGGTTTGCGTTATTTATACGTAGACTTATTTGTATTTTTTCTAATTGAAATGGTACGTCATTCGCACGTAATAGTTCTTTCATTTCGAAACCACTTTCTCCATAAAATTGTTTTTATCCGAATTGCCGTATAATTAAGTGGAGTAAAGGGTACAATTGTACAAACATATGAGTACAAATTTAGGAAAATGCTAGAATCACAAATAAATAATTCACAAATTTCATAATTTTTTTTTGTAGATTTAAAATTAAAATAACATTTATAATTTGAGATTTTGAGTACATCTTATTTTTAGAAAAATATTTAAAAAGAAAATTTATGAATTTTGTGAATTTTTTATTTGTGATTCTAATATTTTTGTTTTTATAATTGTTTTAAGGAGGGGTAAAACTAATATATATATATGTGTGTGTGTGTGTGTGTGTGTGTATAAACCGAGGTAAAATTAAGAAAAAAATCTATAAATTGTATGACTACATAAAAGATTTACAAAAAAAATTATATATTATTTTATGAAAATATGCAAAAAACTGAAAAAAAGTAATTTAATACTTGTAAAAATATAGAAAAGTCCCTTTTTAATGAGATAGCGGCGTAGATTTTGTTTTTTAATCTAGATTCTTCGTAGTATTCTACTATATTTGTTCAGTTTTAACTATTTATAGTTAATCACGTTTACATATAATGAATTAAAAATTATACGATATATTAATTAAATAAAATAATATTTTAAATTTTGAAAATATTTACAAGATAAATATGATAAACTTATTCTTATATTAATATTTTAGAAAATTTAATATAATTTTTGATCAAATTTTTTAATTTTAAGTACTCCGTATAAAATATCAAGATTGAGGAAATAATGAGGTGAGGTGGTGAAATTAAATAAGAAGGGACAAAACCGGAAATATGAAATGTTTGCATGCAGAGCTCAGAAATAAAGGGCTATACATTGCGACGCTTGTCGGGCATGTGAAGCGGCCACCATCTCTCGCCAATTCTCGCTCTTCCCACTCTGCCCCTCCCCACCAAAAGCCTCTTTCTTTAATTTAGTATAATAAAAATAATAATAATAATATTCCTTTCTTCTTCTTCTTCTTCACAGTATTTATGATTGGGAAATAATCGAATCAAAGGGGGCTTCTTTTCGAATTTCGAAAATGTTCGAGGGCCTGACGAGGAAAACCATGTGGAGATCGCCGTCCTCGAGGTTGCTGTGGATAATGGCGCCGTTAATCCTCGTCTGTCTGGTGGTGGCGATGATGGGCCGGACTTCCAACACTTCTTTTTCCGGTGATTGGGTTTTTTCCGGCACGTATTATCCTTGGACTTGGCCGCGCCGCCCTCTTCCGCCGCCGCCGCAGGTTGGGGGGGAACACGATTCTGATAGGCCGGAAAGTTTACCGGCGGCGGTGCCGCCGGCCGTGGGCGGTGGAAAGGGAGTAGATCCGGGTTTGGCCGCCTACATTAATTCTACCAGTAACACCTCTGCTTCTCCGCTGGTCAGCTTATTTTCTTTCCTTAATTTATTACTATTACTCTTTGAAATATTGTTACACAATGTCAAAAATTATATCTTAGTTTTTAAATCAAAATCGATTTTTATTTTTTTTACATTAGTGAATTAAATAGGTGTTAAACTTCACACATTTGCTTTTTTATTTATCAAGTTTGAGTAATTAAATTGAATTAAAAAAAAGTCTCGCTCAAATAATTTTAAGTGGAATTTATTAAAAAGGAAATGAGTACTTTCTTTATATTTCTAGAACCGAGAAGGAAACTAATTATTCTTTCTGTATATTCTCAATCGAATAAGGAAATTAGTTTTTCTAATTATTACCAGCACTTTTTTTGTTTGTGTCAAATCACAAAATTTTTACCTATTATGGGTTTAAAAAGAGAGTAATGATGGGGTAGGGAGGATTTAGGAAATGTGGGGTGAATTTTCTATATATTGGAGTATATATAATGCCACGCACAGTAAAAAGTAAAAACATAGGCGGAATTAAAAAGGAAGAGAGGTAAAATTGTTCATATTTACTGCGTCCGCTTCTCTATTTTTTTAAAGAAAAATGTTAGAAGGTGTGAAAAGAGGAGAGTATTATGACTTAAAATAGGTGGGGGATACATAACATACGTATGGAAACGTACGTTGCAGTAAATGTTTTGATCTTTTTTTTCTTAAATTTGCCATTTATAAAGATGAGGACACAACGGTTGGAGTTTAAAGATGTATCGAAATTTGTAGCACACAAAGTTGCTTACGTGGATGGTATTCTCAAATATATTTGTATGAGAAATTTACTTGACTAAAACATGATGACTTTCCCAATATAAGACCATATGTTTTTATTTCTCAAATTAGGACATTTGGTCATTATCAAGTAGTCATTATTCAAGTAAATGTCCATCATTACTGGACATTATTCCTCTCACAATGTCATGTCATTATTAAGTCCTATTTAGGGAATAAAAAAGTTGAAGTCCTACATTAGGAAAGTATGTTTTAGTCCTATTTAGTACAAATTTCACTATTTGTATCTATTTTTAAATTTTTCTATTTTTTGAAAAAATAAAATAAAGAATTCGGAGTATTAGTATTTAGTACTCCATCTGTTTCAATAAACCCTCCCCCTTTTGATTTTTATCCAAAATAAGGAAAATATATTTATGATTGACTTTCCAAATTTGCCCCTGATGTGATAAGTAAAAATAAAATGTGAAAAAACTAAAAAAATATGATGTAATAAGTAGGGTATAAAAAAGTAAGGATAAAAGTAGTTTTTTAATAGAAAGTGGAATAATTTGGGGATTTGAAAAAAATGAAAGAGGAAGGGTTTATTGAAACAGAGAAAATATATCTTAGTAGTAAATAAATGTTTTTTTGACTTATATTTTTAAAAAATAAAAGAAAAGTACGCAGTATGAGTACTTCGTATATCTTAGTAGTAAGCAAATGTTTATTTGACTTTATACCAGAGAATTTATTTTATATGAGAAAGTATATTGATTTCTAAGTATATATTTTCCTTAAAAATCTAAGTATATGTATGTGTGCATCATAATTGATACAAAGCCTAATTTGTGGCAAGTCTCAAGGAGGAAGATGGGGGGAAAAGTGGAGGGTAGATTTCTTTCCGTTCCGCAATCTGTTTTATTTTTCTTTTCTTTTGGTGACGTCCTCAACAAATCTTAAGGGCGCGTTTGGTGATCATAGGATGCCGTTATTATATTTCTTTTTTGGAAAATGCTAAAGGTACATCAAAAGTGTACTCCAAACATCCCCTACCCCCTCCATCACTATACAAAAAAGCAAGAAAAATTCAAAAAAAAAAAATTAAAAACAAAATAAAATGAATGGTAAAGAGAGTGGTGGTGTACATTTGGGGTACACCTTTGGTGTACCCCTAGCATATCCCTTCTTTTTTATGTTTGGTGAGACATAAAAAAATTCCGTATTTGATATCTCCGAAAACACAAATCCTCTTAATGAGAATTTTGATATCTTCCAAATTTGAGAGATATCAATATAGAGATCGATTTGCTATCTCCTTCAACTGTCGACCATCACCCGCCACTGCCTAATACTGTCACCGCCAACCACCTCCGTTACCGGCGACCCATGTCAATCATTAATTAAACCATAATTTTGAATATCTCTAAATTAAAAAATTTCATTTCAGATTTTGAAAACCATATCATTTCTCCCAGCAGGTCTTAGAATCCATATATCGTATCTCCCAAGCATGCCCAAAATTTGTAAACATATGTATAAAGTGGAGTATAAATGACTACAAATAATCTTGTTTGTCACACACCCATAAATCATGTCTATGCCCTTCAAAAATGAAGGTTTAGTGACATTTTTGTTGTATCTTTGTGTATATGAACAAATTCTGTCACACATAGTGAGTAATGCGCATAACATGAAATTAATATTTTGGTATCATGAAGAAATACTTACAAAATTATGTTGGATGATCATAATTTGTGTGCTCTTAATTTATTTTCCTCATGAAAAGGATTTACAAAAGGAAGAAGAAGAGGAAGAAGCAGTGAATGACACTCAAGCTCCCCCACAAGAAGTGAGGATACAAAAGAAGTTCAGCAATCTGCAAATGCTTGAAGCCAAGCTCGGAAAAGCCCGGGCCGCTATCCGAGAAGCCATCCATCCAAACCAAACATACGACGACCACGATCCCGACTACGTCCCCACGGGTCCCATTTATTGGAACGCCAAAGCTTTCCACAGGTCTTTCACTATAATACATATTCGTCACACATTTTAACTGTCCCACTTTATATGTTCGATACTTAATTATCATGAGCCTGTGTATCTGGTCGAATTTTAATTGTTAAGCCCGCTATACAAGCTTGATTTGAACATAAAAAAATTCTCGTAATATAACGCCGGACATGGTTTATTTGATCTCACATATGAATGTCATGTGGGTGGACAGGAGTTACATGGAAATGGAGAAACAATTCAAGGTTTTCGTGTACGAGGAAGGAGACCCGCCGGTTTTCCACAACGGCCCATGCAAGAGCATTTATGCCATGGAAGGAAACTTTATTTACCAAATGGAGACCAGCCCGTTTCGGACCAGGGACCCGGAGAAGGCCCACATCTTCTTCCTCCCGGTCAGCGTCACCGCCATCGTCCACTACGTCTACGACCGCAAGTCCCGCGAGCATTGGCTTCCCATGAAGCAGACCGTCAGCGACTATGTCGGTCTCGTCGCCGGAAAGTATCCTTACTGGAACCGCAGCTCCGGCGCCGACCATTTCATGCTCGCGTGCCACGATTGGGTAATTATTGTCCCCTCTTCCATCTTTTCAATTAGAATTGACAATTGAGTGTGAATTTGAACCCGTCAGGAATAGCAGAGGTTAATAATGAAATATTTGCACTAAATAGTATAAAACTTAAGTTATTTTTCTAAATAGCACTTAAATTGTTATATCCCTGAAATAGCACTTAATAATGTTCATGAGATGACAATTATTTACTTGAATAATGACTAATGGATAATGACTAAAAGTGATATATTAAGAAAAAACACATGTGATGCTATTTAGAGAAAGTCATTATCTTTTAGTGCTATTTAAGTAAATTCTCCGTTAATAATAACCATGATGATTAATATATTATGCAGGGGCCTGAAATCTCTAAGGCGGTACCCGAGTTGTTCAAAAACTCAATCCGAGCATTGTGCAACGCCAACACCTCAGAGGGATTTCGTCCCTCAAAAGACGTGTCGATCCCCGAGATTCTTCTCCCGGGAGGCACAATGCACGGCCTGATCGGCGGGCCCTCCCCGTCGCGCCGACCGATACTAGCCTTCTTCGCGGGAGGGGTCCATGGGCCGATCAGGCCGATAGTCCTCGAGCATTGGGAGAACAAAGACGAAGACATTCAGGTTCACACGTACCTACCGAAGGGCGTGTCGTACTACGGGATGCTAAGAAAGAGCAAGTTCTGCATATGCCCTAGCGGGTACGAGGTGGCGAGTCCTAGAATGGTGGAAGCCCTCTACACGGGGTGCGTCCCCGTCCTAATCAAGGACCATTATGTCGCGCCCTTCAGCGACGTCCTGAACTGGAAGGCGTTTTCGGTTGAGGTCCCGGTAAAGGACATCCCGAACCTGAAGAAGATCCTGTTGGGGATATCGCAACGACAGTACATACGGTTGCAGAGGAGGGGGGCTCTGGCGAGACGGCATTTTGAGGTTAACGTTCCACCGAAGAGGTACGATGTTTCGCACATGATTCTCCATTCGGCGTGGCTAAGGAGACTTAACTTTAGGCTTCATGGCATTGAAGACATTTGATGAGTGAGGGAAGTTGAAAGCTAAGCCTAAGTTGATTTAGTACATGTCTACCTAGCTAGCTAGTTGTGCAACGTTTTGTTTGGAGAACCCATTGGTTTTTAATTTGCTTTGGGAAAAGGTCATTGGTTTATTTAGATGAGTGATGCCTTGTATTTTGAATTTTGAAGTTCTTTATATGGCTGGTTAATAGATTTGGATATAAAACTGTGGTTGGGCTCACTTCCTATTTTGAAAACAATTATTTTGTACGAAGTAAATCTGCATATACTACTTCTTGCAGGGTATGAATTCAAACATGATCACGGGCTCGGTATCCGGCCTGCCCGCAAAAGCCTGTCCTTCAAATAGCGGGCTTGGGCTTGACATTCTAGGATACGGGCAAGGCTTGGGCCTTATAAATTGGCGGCCCAAATATTTTAGGGTCGGGCTCGGGTTTTATGCTCAAGCCCACATGCCGGCCCGGCCCGAATAAATTAAAATATTTATTATATTTTTGAATGCTTAAAATATTTATTATTAGTATAATTATAATAAAATAATAATAACAACATTAACAATAATAATAATAATAATAATAATAATAATAATAATAATAATAAAAAGAATAATACTATTTCAAGTTATTATAAACAAACATACGAGTACATACTTGGAGAAAAAAGTGCATTATAAGTATATTTAATAAAATAAATAAATCGTTATTGCTCCGTAATCTTTAATACGTTTTGCACATTGATAATGGTGTTCCAATAAATAATACGGAGTACTTCGTACGTAGTAGCAATATCAAACAAAATACATTTTATATATTTGTTGTTATTTCATTTACTCATTATAGTTATTATATCAAACATCTAATATATTAACCAATTACTTTATTTTTAAAAATTATTTTTTAATTATTTAAAATTTTTTGTCGTGCGGACTGGGCCGGCCCAAAGCCCCTGTATCCATGCGGGCCGGGCTTGGGCTTCAATTTTTAGACCTGATATATGGGTCGGGCTAGGCTCGGGCCTAAAAATTTTTTTGTAATGTAACATCTCGGCCTGGCCTGAGACTCAACTCGGCTCGTACTTTAATGGTCAAAGATTGCTTATAAAAAAATACGAAGTAAATAAAAATGAATAAATTAAAAAAGGTGATACTCCCTCTGTCCACCATAGATCTTCCCAGACACTATTCACAGAGTCAAACTTTACTCACCTTGTTTGCTCATTTTTACTAGTCATTTCGTAAAATAATATAGTCTTGTCACCTCTAGTTTTGTAGAACTTTTCATGTAGTTTATTACTATATAAATTTCATTTTAAAATTTTACTCCTATAATCAATTAAATTGAATTGAAAATAAAGTCGGTCAAGCCTCGTAACGCGTAACGAAAAGAACTTAGATGGACGGAAGGAGTAGTTTTGAAGAATCCTGTGGACTTCTCTCCCTCAGTATGACTGTATCCTCCACATTTCATCGATCCAGCAAAACCATGGGCAGTATTTTCAAACCGCCAGTCAAAACCTTTCTAAAACCTAAAAACCAGCTGCAAAAATTCCACCCATTAAATCCCTCTTATTCCACCATTTCTTGAGAACTCCTTATACCGCTGTTAGATCCACCTCAAAATCTTCTTTGTTTCTCATTCCTTCCAAAAGCCAAGCAACCCATCCGGCATTTCATGGTAAAGAAGCTGAAGTTTGTATCTTTTCTTCCCTGTTTCTCTAAATCAGAATTCTCTGCTTTGAATTTTCTGTGTTCATGATTGGGTTGTGTTAAAAAAAGTTACTCCATTTGCTTGAAGGAGTAAAATTTCTTCATTTAATTATGATTGTATCATTGTATGTCTTCAACATTGGGTGTTAAAGATTGCGTCTTTCCATCATAAGTTTATCGAAATATTGAATTTATGCTTCCATTTTCTTGAAGGAAGCTAACATAGTCTTGTTTTGAGTTTTCGGGTTTCACATGTGTGTGGCAAAGACTGATTCTTTTCATCTGTGTTCATCAAAATATTGATTTTCATTGTAAATTCCTTGAAATTAACATATTCTTGTATTGAATTTTTCCCTTTCTTGAAATTAACCTATTCTTGCATTGAATGTTTCTGTTTCAGCAGTGGCTTTTCATCTAAATTGCATTGCATCTTTTTATTGATTCTGTATGGAATCTAGTGGAATGTATCCAAGCATGGGGTCTGGGATGATAGGGCTAGAAATGTCCCTCCACCATCACATCCCACAACCTCCTCCTCCTCAGCAGCAGCAGCAGCAGCAGCCACCCAATCTGACCATGGCGCCCTTTGACCAACACCACCCTCCTGTTGGGGTTCACACTTACGCCAATAAACCCAAAACCCATGGGCTATCTCTCAACAGTGATGATGATGAGCCTGCTGCTGGAGGCGTGGGACCCACTCCCGATCGGAACACTGTCGAAGACGGGAAGAGAAAAATGTCACCTTGGCAGAGGATGAAATGGACAGATGAAATGGTGAGGCTGTTGATAATGGTGGTGTATTACATCGGCGACGAGGGCACGTCCGAGGGGAATAATAGTAACAACAACCCTGAGAAGAAAGGCGGGGTTTTGCAGAAGAAGGGGAAGTGGAAATCGGTCTCTCGCGCGATGATGGAGAGAGGGTTCTATGTGTCTCCGCAGCAATGCGAAGACAAGTTCAATGATCTGAACAAGAGGTATAAAAGGGTGAATGATATTCTTGGCAAAGGAACCTCTTGCCGTGTTGTTGAGAATCACGCCTTGCTTGAAACCATGGATTTATCACCCAAGATGAAAGAGGAAGTCAAGAAACTGCTCAATTCCAAGCACTTGTTCTTCAGAGAAATGTGTGCCTATCATAACAGTTGTAGCCAAAGCTCATCCGAACCACCCAATCTTCGTCACCAGAAGTGTTTGCATTCTTCCAATGCACCTAGACTTGGGCCTAGTTCAACGGAAAGGGACGAAACTGTCAAAACCCACGAAAGCAGGGAAGAAGAAGAAGATGATGATGATGATGAAGACGGCGATGATGACGAGAGCAATGATGATTCCGAAGAAAGCGAGCTTGAAGAAAGATCACAGAAAACACAGAAAACAGGCGGGTGGGCCCACCAACTGAGCTCTGAACTGACCGATATGTGTCAAGATGGAAACCGGAGTCCACTAGAGAAGAGGCAATGGATAAGGGGTCAAATGGTTCGGTTGGAGGAACAACGGGTGATGTACGAATCAGAGAGATTGGAGCTCCAGAAGCAGCGGTTGCAGTGGGAGAAGTACAAGGGCAGGAAGGAGAGGGGAATGGATAGGGAGAAGCTCGTGAACGAGAGGAAGAGATTGGAGAACGAGAGATTGGCTCTTTTTCTCCAGCAGAAAGAGCTCGAGTTGCTTGATGATCACCTTCTCCACCATCAACGAACCAGTGACCCGTCCTCTGTCACTGGTTGATGATGAAAATGTGAAGTTATGTAGTTGTACTGTTGTAGTACTAGCACAAGCTGTTCTAGTTTATATGTAACATAGTCTATTGTTTTGCAAAAGTTACATTATAGATGGTTGGCAAATCTTTGAGTGCTTGAACATTATTTAGCCTAACTCTTAATATCAATAGAGGTTTAGAGGACATAAGTACTAAGTGTTATGTATTAATTCTTTAAGTACTTACCATGCTCTCACTTGGAAGTATTTATACTTCACCACTTGAATGAACAACTAAAATTTATTACAAATGTGTGCCTATAACTCTCACACAAAAATCCTAAATATTTATAAAGGATATACTCCGTATATTTCTAACACATCTCTTTATATTCTATAATTTTCAAGATTTTTTAATAAAGTCCTTGACATTTTTGAAGTATTTTTGAGTTTTGACTCTTTTAGATTGATGTAGAACTATCGAACCATTTCAAATTATAAACTTATGCAAATTTCGGATACCAAAGAGTGACACATTACAAGTTATTATGGGTGGGATCAAACATGACGGAAATGCAAGTTTAATGGGAATTTGAATGAAGAGATATTAAAAAAAATTGGACCAAACGTTGTGACAACCAAAATGTTATTTTTGTCACACGACACTTGTAAAAACAAAGTCGTTTCATGCAAATATGCGCCGGTAAAGTCAATGTAAATGGCGTGAGGCCGTAACGGTTCCCTCCCAATGACCCAACCCACGGCACCGCATATTCATGTTACGGTAACGGTGACCCCCAACGTTCCGTCTTCTCTCTCTCTCCCCTCCTGTGAGAAGCCTGAAGCCAGATCCCTAGCACTAACGTTTCCCATGGCTTCCTGTGACGACGATTTCCCTCTAATCGGTGACGATAACGCCGCTCACACCACCGCCACAACACCCGCCGTTAACCCTAACTTCCACCGTCACCACCACCACCAACCCTTCTCCTCTCATCTCCGATTTAAGGCCTCCCAAATCCACCCGTCTCCTCTCCACGCCGGCAGTCCGAAGGACATTCCCGGCGAGAACGATGCCGCCTCCCCCGAGGGAGAAGGTTACACCGATGGAGGGGCGTTCTGCTCGCCGCCGGATCCGAAGGATAGCAACTCCTCGTCGTATCATGTCGTCGGGATTAATCCGTACGAGAACGATGCCAATCCTTACGATGCGGATCCCGATCCGACTAGATCTCGAGCCAGTGCTGCGAACGTTAAGCGTCTGGAGCAAGAGGTCATCAGCGCAAACGGAGCTCCCTACGCGTACAAAAGGGCGAAACTCGTCACGTCTGTGGCTACGGCCACCAGAGGCGGCGGAGGAAGTGGGGAGTATAGGAAGGACAGGGAGGAATGGAGCGACACAGGCATCGCGTGCCTTTTGGAGGCGTACTCGGAGAAGTTTATGCAGCTCAACAGAGGCAATTTGAGAGGGAGGGATTGGGAAGAGGTGGCGGCCATGGTCAGCGATAGGTGCGAGAAACAACCGAAGAGCGTTGAGCAGTGTAAGAACAAGGTTGATAATTTGAAGAAGAGGTATAAGCTGGAGAGGCATAGAATGAGCAACGGCGGAGTTTCGGCTAGCCACTGGCCCTGGTTCAAGCAAATGGAACAGATTGTTGGAAACTCTCTTTCTGCAAAAGCAATCTTAGTTGAGGAGGAGAAATCCGGCATCTCGCTTAGACAGTCTAAGAGGTAATCAATCTTTAAGTTGATCTACTGCAATTATGTTAATCTAATCATTCATTTGATCTATTGTGATAATTGTATACGTACTTCGTATTACATTTGATAATTGTTTTTTATATCCAAAAAGGATACACTAGGGTATGTTAATAACTGATACATTCTCATTCGTATGTCTAAGGACTTGCCAAGCTCAAAATTCTGGTGTCGTTTTTGAGTTTGTAATTTTGGATATGCACGATTCCTCAATTCTCATTTTGCTTATCTGTAGTTTGTACTTCGCGTATGGATAATCTGCATTAAATATTAGGTAGTGTTCACTTTTCAGATATGGAACTGCAAACTCTGCTCTTGGGGCTCAAGTTAACAATATGAAGCTAAAATCTCATGGTGGTGGTCCCAGGTGGAGAAGAGTTGTTTTTAAGATTAGCGGCGCTGCTCTATCTGGAACCACACAGAACAACATTGACCCAAAGGTTGATATGTAATTCTTTCTTTTACAAGTTAAAATGTTTAGGACTATATTTTTTTAAAGACTTTAGTTACAACTTGAGCCATTGAGTGTTCAAAAGACTTCTCATTTTGACCTTTTCCGTCTCTGTGCAATCTCATGCCTACTTTTCTGGTTTATGAGTGTGCACTAATGTATGCTACCAACTTTGATTTCAACTATACCAGGTGGCCATGCTTATCGCAAGAGAAATTTCAATTGCATGTCGTGTTGGAGTAGAGGTATCATTCAAAAAAAGCTTTTCATTGCACTTGTATTATACAGAAATACACAGTTATTTTTGCACTTCTGATTCCTGCTATATGTATGTGGATTTTAACTCTAGGTAGCAGTAGTTGTTGGAGGCCGTAATTTCTTTTGTGGCGATTCATGGGTTACATCAACTGGTTTAGACAGATGCACTGCCTATCAGATTGGGTAATTTCTTTAGTTGCGATTCATGGCTTACATCAACTGTTTTCTTACAGCTGAAAATGATTAAGTTTTTATTCTTTAATTTATACATATTAGGATTTCTTATTGTTTACTCCGCATACATATAATAGAAGTTGAAGTAAAGTGAGCTTGGACAATATCTAAAATAATTTTATTTGAGTTAAAGGCTATTTTATGTTCCTCCATTTTTTTCCTACTGATTTTCCTTGGATGTTTTCCTCCCTATTTTTTTGTCCTGCTATTTTCAAGTTCCAAATGGACCCTTAGGGTAGAATTAGTTTGAACTGGTTAATGTTCCTTTTTATTTTTGCTCAATAATGGCACTCACCATTAGTTCTGAACTGATAATGTCCTTTATTGCCTCCTATATTTCATAGGATGATGGCAACCTTGATGAATTCCATACTTCTGCATTCAGCACTGGAAAAACTGGGTGTGCAGACTCGTTTGCAAAGCACATTTTCTATGCCAGAGGTAGCGGAGCCATACAACAGGCAACGAGCAATTCGCCATCTCGAAAAGGGCAGAGTTGTAATCTTTGGCGGAATAGGAGCTGGCACAGGAATTTCACTGTTCACCACTGATACAGCTGCAGCACTAAGAGCTTCTGAGAGTATGACTATTGAATGTTCTAGTATTAACTAACCTGTTTCGCTTTCATGAGATGGGGGGGTATTATAAGTCATTTCTGTTGTTTCATCTTCCCCAGTTCATGCTGATGCCATGCTGAAAGGTACGAATGTAGAAGGCGTTTATCTTTGCGACTCAAGAAGTAACAACTTAATAGCCGAACATGTGTCCTACCGGGATCTTGCTTCTGAAGGTGCGGCTCCCATTGACATGATGGCTGTTAATTGCTGTGAGGAGAATGGTATTCCTGGTCAGTATCTTCTATCCTCATTTAGGTTTTGATTTAAGCACGATTAGCAGAATAAATAGCTTTGAATAATTTCTTTGCCTGGAATGGATTTTCTTACCCAAACAGACACATTTGCAGTAGTTCAGCTTTATAATACCTAAATGTGCCACAATTCTTTGAATTAGATAACGGAAGAGAGCCTCAATTGGAAGCGTTTTATCCATACATTCTTATGGAGAAATTTTTCTGTACCATTTTTTTTTGCAGTCGTGATTTTCAATCTTCATGAGCCCGGGAATATATCAAGAGCATTGAGTGGAGAGCCAGTCGGGACTCTGATTGATCAGATGGGAAGGATTAGTTAGAATTAAAGAGCCATAAGAGGAACCGACAATGACTGTCATCCAGGTTAGTTCAAGGTGTAGGTGTATTGCGTCATATGCATTCTAAACTGACGGTCATTTGTTGTTTAGGCAATTATATTAGAGACAATGAAGCAAATGTTGTTTTCATTAGCTCCATCAACAACTTACTAAGTATCAATCGTGTAAATTTCACCTGGCATTTAACATTGATGTCCTAACTTAAGGGCATTGATATTGAGTTAAATTAATACAGAGTATTTAGCTAAGAGCAAGTGTAGCCCATGCACACTAACCATTTTTTGTTTTCATAGACATCCATCTTGTTTGTTTGTATACAAACATCCACAGGCAAAACCAGTGTCAGTAAAAACAGTGTCGGGTGTTTCTAAGAAAATGGTGTCAAAATTTGGGCGTCTCAAGCATTTTTCTTAATATTTGTGTTATAAGGTAAAATGTTTCTTTGGGCGTGTCTTCTTAAAGACTAATGGGCTATAGGTATAGGGTCGAAGATCTTTTGCCCCCACCCTCCAAAAGAGAATGAAAGGAAAAAGAAAAGCTGTAAATTATAATCTCTCTATTATCATTCCCCTTTTGACCGGCAAGCACATTCGAGTTTGATGATATACTGCCAAAGTAATTGAGTTCCATGGAGTAACCTTTTGACTTATTGTCAAAAGTGGAGGGCTTCCGTGAAACATGTTTTGATCATTGGATCTTCTATCAATAAGAAATAAATACATTGGGACATTTTATATTCCCTTTCCATATGTCTAGTTCTCTGCTCATGGAGTCATGGATGAAATGATACTATCTCCATCATTGATATTTGTCCATAATTTTTTTTAGGTAAATTATTTTCAATCTTTGATATATAATTAAATAAAATATACTCTGTATGTTGTATATTAATTAAATACAATAATATTTTTAAAATATTTGATATAATAAATCTAATAAAACCATTGTTTTCATTAATATATAATATGGAGTATCATTTTATTTAATTTGAAGTTAAAGTTTATCAATTTTGATAAAAAAAAATTAAAAATGAACAAGTACTCAGGACTGAGGAAATACTTAACTAGCATATTAATGCATACTCCCTCCGTCCTTAAAAGACTATCACAATTTGACCATTTTGGTCATGTTGTAGCATCCTTTAATCACAAATTTAATATAATTTAAAATAATTAAATATTATAAAAATTTAATATTTCAAACTACGGAGTATATTTTAAAATAAATCAATTTTCACTAAACCTACATTATAATAAATATACTTTTTTATAATTTACGGTCAAAGTGTGTTATAGTTTGATAAAAAAAATCAAACTGTGACAATTTTTTAAAGACAATGAGAGTTTTTTATATCGGTAACCAACACTTGTTTCAAAAAAGTATAGAGGTGCATGTCAAAAAAGAGAAAAAGAAAAGAAATATAGATTTAATTTTACGACAAATGAAAAAAAATGGATAGTTCATTTTGAGAGCAAAGTGAGAAACTACTTGTACCAAACCGTGCACTAGAACTAAGTACCACAAAACCTAAACAGAACAAGTTAATTTTTTCAAACATTGTTTGTAAAGTTAACTTTGTAAGTAAATTCATTCCAACCACCAAATCAAATCAGGAATGACGATTTCATTGGTCTCTCTTACCTTTCAAAAGGCTCCATAGAATACAAAGCCGTTGCAGAAAAACCAAAGGAAAACAAAATTAGATACTACGTATATATAGACCATGGCGCAATGCGTATAGGAAATCATGGAATTCCGTCTTCCGTGGTGGCCGCAAGGGAGGGGGAGATCGAGTCCCGCGACTCGCGGTACCCCTCCTCCTCCCCTAGCGGCGATTGCACCAACCTCATCTCCTCTATTACCCTAACCACCTCCCCCATTGTCGGCCTTTTCTCCGGTTGTTGGATCACGCAAGCCAACGCGATATGCAACACCGACACGAGCTCCTCCTCGATGTTCTTGTACCTCAATAGTTCTTCGTCAAACACCTCCGCCGTCCACTCGTCCCTCACCACCGACCGGGCCCACTTCGGCAAATCGAACGCCGGGTCCCCCGGGGAAGGGACCTTTCGGCCGGTGAGCACTTCCAAGAGAAGAACCCCGAAGCCGTACACGTCTGCTTTTTGGGACAGCCTCTTTATCTCTGCCTGTTCGGGCGCCTTGTAACCGCCTAGCCTCGCAACGGCGTGGGCCGGGTTGAGAAGCAAGGACAGCCCGAAATCGGAGATGCAGGCTGTCCCGTTCTTGTCCAGCAAGATGTTCGAGGATTTCAGATTCCCGTGCGGGATTCTGGAATCCTCGTATTCTTGGTGAATGTGAGAAAAACCCCTTGCTACCCCCAACACCAACCCAAGTCTTGTGGTCCAATCTAATGGGACTCTCCCTGCTCCTCTTTTATCTGTTATTTAAATTTATGACCATAAGTACCATTAAGAGATTTAAAGCTGTGTTTGGCAAGAATTTTTTACCAAGAAATCACGAGTTTGAAATTCTTACCATGAAGAAGGGAATGTAAAGTCCCGTTTGGCAGATAATCATAGACCAGCAATTTTTCTTCCTTGGCGTGATAGTAAGCTCTGAGTTTAACAATGTTGGGATGATTAAGCCTCCCAATCACATCCATACACTGTTCAAACTCTTTCCGGCCACAAGGATTGGCATCTTTCAGCCTTTTCACGGCCACCGGCCGGCCGTCGTCCAGAACCGCCTTGTAAACCGTTCCCAAACTGCCCTTCCCCAGTAACTCTGCGGAAGCTCGGAGCAATTCCTCCAGCTCGAACTGCTTCCTCCGGTTGAAAAACACTAGCCTGCTACGATCTGTCGCGGTGGTTCCGTCGCTGTCGGCAGCTGCGCCGGCGTAAACCCTCTTCTCGCCGGAATAGCTGCTCCTACGCTTACCGCCCTCGCTGCCGGAGATGGAGTAGGGCCCGCGGGATTTCTTCCCGCAGTAGAAGGCTACCACGAATGAGGCGGCGACTAGTAGCACCACCGCATTAGCCACTGCGATGGCCACGATCGTGGCTCTTCTCATTCCTTTTCGTGGGCTTTCATCGGGACTGGTGGAATTATCGGGTAATGAGCTTGGATTGGAAGGAACGGTCGGAGAAGCTGAGCGATTTGGTGGGGTCTCCCCGGAGAATGAGCACTGGGGCAGAGGAGACCCACACAGCCTCTCATTTCCGGCGAAGCTTTCCCGGCCGAATCGACTGTATAAGCTCCGAGGAAGAATTCCCTGAAATTCATTGTTAGATAGGTTCAGTACATTGAGATCTCTGAGAAAACCCAGCGAATCAGGGATATTTCCGGAGAATTCGTTGTTCTGTAACCGAAGAGTGCGGAGGCGCGTGAGATTCGAAATTGCGGTGGGGATGGGGCCTTTGAGGTTGTTGCTGGAGAGGTCAAGGCGGAGAAGGCGGCGGAGGGAGGAGATTTCTTCCGGGATTACACCGGAGAAGTCGTTTCGGGAGAGGTAAAGAGCTTTAAGGCTGTGGCATTGGGCGACGGGGGCGATGGAGCCGTTGAGGCGGTTGTCGCGGAGGTCGAGGCGGCGGAGCTGGTCGAGGGACGAAAGGGCGTCGATGGGGCCTCGGAGGCTGAGCGAAGGGAGAGACAGGGCGGTGACGCGGCCGCTGGTGCAGTTCACTCCGACCCAATTGGCGGAGCAGGATGTGTCTCCGGTTGCGGCTAGTGTCCAGTTGGCGAAGAGAGTGCCGTGGGGATCAGTTTGTGAGCGGAAGAGTGATAGGACGGCAGTGTCATTCCCCGCCGCCGCCGGGGCAACGGCGGAGCAAAATATGAGGAAGAGAAGGAGAAACGGGGAAGGATGTTCCATTGGTGAAAGAAAGCATGAGGAGCTGAAAAGTGGGATTTCAATTTCCAGCTCTCCTCTCTTGGTTCCCCTTAACACAAAACTTTCAAAACTTGTATTTTTAAAGAAAAGATTAATTCTTTTTTATACTTTGGTTTCCGTGACATTGAAATTCAATGTCATGGACACGAGGTTCGTACGATGCTCACCATTCGAAAAGTTGATGGTTTTACCTTCCCTAAATCTCCGGTAAAAATTTGACTCCAAAGTCAATTAAATCTTGTGGCATGTAATTGACGGGGTGCAAGGGTATGTGCAGGCCGGGCCTAGGTAGAGGGCTTATCAGAAGAATTAAGAGGGTAGGAACCATCAATTTTTTGAACAAAGCATTATAGATGCCCTAATCGAGGCCCATGTCATAGGATGAGATGGAGGGTTCATGTCACCCGAACCTGTCACCCGAACCACCCCTTCTTTTTATATTTAAATAAAAAACAAATATTGATAATAAGACATTGAAATATTGACATACATATATATAATGGCTCGAAAATTAAAATATAAGTCATGATTTGTGGAAAAAAAGCTCATGAAATTTAATTGAGAAAATTTCTCGAGAAAATTGAATATATGAATGCACATGAATGCTCCTCTTTAATTACACTCAGCCGTATTATTAAAGACAAAGGTTATGACTTTTTAAAGGTAAAGATGGAAACAACTCATTCCTTGAATGAAATAAAGGAAAAAAAGAGTGATGTTTTAATTGCGGTGAGCTGTTTTCTTTTACCCAACAATAACCATGTTTGGATATTACTTTTCAAATAGTTTTTTGTTGCTTTCAATAAATTTAGTTAAATAAAGCCCTTGTTTGGGAATACCCTTTCAGATTAGCGTTTGGATAAAATTTTAATGATGTAGATTAATTCTAAAAATGCTAACGTTAAAAACTACGGTTAAATACTCCCTCCGTCCCAAAAAAGATCTTCATGTTTCATTTTTTGTGCATCCTATAAAACACTTCTACACACATCTAAAATGCCTAAAATTTATCACATTTCTCATTTATTATGGGTAAAAGTTTTTTTGAAAGTTTTTTGCATTTGAGGCCGGATAGAAGTGTTTTATGAGATGCGCAAAAAATGAAACAGGAAGATCTTTTTGGGACGGAGGGAGTAATTTTTTAAAACTCTAAGGCTAATATCTAACGCGGATGTCAAACGAGTCATAGTCTCGAATAAGCTATTAAACAAAAATGTGATGCCTTTTCCATTTTGTCCTTGGCTCCTTGCATATAAATATTTTGAGTAAGCAAGCAAACAATTATTTATTGTGTATATAACTTATTAGGAGTATTAGAGATAATAGAAAACAGTATATGATTATTAATTTTCATATCACCTAATTTTAAATTATATTGTTATAATATTTACTTTTCCTACTTTATTTTCAATTCATACTCTAGTTATGAATTTCTAATTATATCTTATAGATAGGAATGAAACCTTTATTATTCAATGAGACTAATTATTATGTTATACTCCGTATCATGAATAAATATATTCTCCCTAATAACTATAGAAACTAACAATGTAGGAGTATAAACTATACTCCAAAATATTGGTTTGATTGGCACAAACTATAAGAAGAATAAAAAAAAGTGTTAATGAAAGTAATGCACACGAGAGAAAATTTTTGTGCCATTCAAAAAAGGAAAGATGAAGCTTTTTTTGTGATGCCCCCCAAAAAAATCTTTATAGAGACGGAGAGAGTATCATATTGTAGAGCTTATTTTTTTTATCTGAATACTCTAGCAAATATTTATATTAAAAAAATTATACCACTACCTCCGTCTTCAAAATAAGTTCCCATTACATTTTTCATGATCTTCGGGTTACACCAGTTTGATTTTCACCCCGCCAATAGATTTACATTTCATTCTTTATTAGATAAATTAAAAATAAAAAGTAGATAAAAATGAAGAATTCCCTAGATAAGAATAAAAAATTATGAAAAATACCAAAATAAGAGTTATAAGTCTTTAAAAACTAAAATCAGAGTTCAAACTACCATTATTATATTACCACACTCACTCTATTGTCACATTGTAACTAGGGGTGAGCGTGGTACAGTATTTAGCTCGTACCGGTATCGTACCAAATATTTAGGTTTGGTATACGATTTGTTGTACTGATCTCAATCCCGAAGCATCGGTTCGGTATGATTCCAGATGATTCGGTATCGATTTCGGTATGAATCGGGATAAATATATACGTACCTAGTTTACACCATAAAATGTAACATAACATTTATTTTTGAAAAATCGAAAGTACAAACCAAAGAAAGATTAAAAAATTAAAAATGAAAAATTAAATGCAAGAAAGTTAGTTTATATTTCACAAACTAAAAAGAACGAGTGATAACAAAGTATTATTTCAAGTGTTTGTTAATATTCTTATACTCATCTACAAAAAATTAAAAACTCGTATTCAAGTGTAACTTACGCATTATGAAATTAAACTAAATTGTCTATGTAAATTTTTATTTAATGAAAAAATATAAAAAGATTATTATTTTTATAATATATTAGTAACCTTATACCGTTCCCAAATACCAGACCGACTATTTGGTTCGATACGATTCGATTATGGTAAATAAATTCACAGAAAAACAAAAGTATTCATAGATTTATGAAATATTTGCACTAAATAGCACTAAAACTTAAGTCATTTCCCTAAATAGCACTTAAATTGTTTTATTCCCTAAGTAGCACTTAATAATGTTCATAATGTCATGTGATGACGAATATTTACTTGAATAATGACTAATGCATAATGACTAAAAGTGCTACATTCGAAAGAAAAACACATGTGGTGCTATTTAGAAAAAGTCATTATGTTTTAGTGCTATTTAAGTAAATTTCTCTTGATTTATTGTTATGATTTTTGTGGTGTGATGTTTTATTTTGACCATATATGGAAGATTGTTGCATGATTCTCATACTAGGCTAGGTTAGGGCTGCGTAGGGAAAAGTGGGAAAATCAAAAATCGCAAACCAAATCGAAACTAATCAAAACGAGTTAGTAAAAAAAACGAATCAAAGAAAACGAAACTGAATCTAAAAAAACCAAACCAAACCAAACCGTTATTGTTTGATTTCTATTTTGATTTTCACTTTGACAAAAAATGAACTGAACTGAATGAACTAAGCTTTCTTGAGTACTTTGCTTTATTTATATGAATATACTCCATATATAATATATAAAATACTGTAGAACACATATCTTTTACTTCATTAGGAAAATAAAGAAATGAGATAATTATTTTAGAACAGACAAAAAAGTGATACAATTAAGTCAAGATAAAAAGACAACGTGAGGCAGAAATTTCTTTTTAAAAAGAAATGCTAGAGCACAAATTAAATAAAAAATTCACAAAATTCGCAAATTTAATATATTAACATTTCATTAAGAACAAAATATACTAAAGAAAAATATTTCAAGGGCAGTAGAATGGCCCCCATTGTATTACAGAATAAAAATAAAGACCATGCTACACTCATTTCAAAATTTGTACCCTAAACTTACACCATAGATATACATCAACATTTTGATGATTCAAACTCACACAGAGTGTTCGTGCGTTAACAAAAATTTGCACTGACACAAAGTGTTCGTGCGTTAACAAAAATTTGCACTGAAACAAAGTGTTTGTGTGTTAACAAAAAATAACGTTACACCAACACAAAATGTTAGTGCACACCTGCGATATACGAATGGGGTACAAACTCTTGGGATAAAAATAACTTTATCCTGGAAATAATACAAGGAGAATGCTAAAAAGGCACCACTTGTGCCTCCAAGCATGCCACCCATTAAATTTAATTTTTTTTTCAATTTTCTTTTTTGTCTTTTCGTCTCCCACCTTCTTCCTCAAAATTCCCAACCCGCCTTCTTCCCCAAAATTCCCAACCCGCCTTCTTCCCCAAAATTCCCAAATCTCCCTTCTCCAGCTTCAACCTCCACAAGCAACAGATTTCGAACAACTCCAATTGCACCTCCTTCTTCTCCATCGAGAGCATAGCAGCGCCGGCAACCCTACCCCTCGCCAGCCCACCCCTCCAGCTCCAGCGCCGGCAGGCCCACCCCTTTAGCTCCAGCGCCGGCAGCCTCACCCCTCCGAACAGGTACTGAGCCGGCACTCAAATTAATCATTAATGGAATTGTCTGTAAAAGATGAGATACTAAAGAATTGCAAAGAACAATATACTAGTATTGTAAATTTTACACCCCACCATACCTAGCCACTTTTATGAGAGGATGGTGAAGTCATATTTTTGAGAGTATTTGAACTTCATATATGATTATTGTCTGTGAAAAAGAATTGTTTGTTATTTTTGCTTACTTTGTGAATTGTAATGCACAGATGAGTAAGTTCTGTTATTTTAACTTCATATAACATTATTGTCTGTGAAACAGGTCTACTTGTTATTTTTGCTTGCTTTCTTTGAATTATATGCCATAGACGATTAACTTCAATTTATTGAAATTCATATATAATTATTGTTTGTGTAGATATTTAACTTGTGTAGATATTAAGTCCAGACTGCAGTTCTGAACACATGGCTGATTTCTGATGTCAATTTGCTGCTAGGTTATGGCGTGGAAGGAAACCAACCAATATTTGGCTTTTTTACTTTACAATTTTAGGGATCTTAAATTTTTGTGAAACTCTTTGTAATGGTTTTTGTGCTTTGTAATGTATTTTTTGGGGAAACACTTGTTAATGAACAATCTGTTACTGTGTTTTATGAATAACTGTCTATTTTACCCATTACACAGAGATTTAATGTATGTGACGACAGAGTTACATAACGTTATGCACATACACCATCTTCAGAATCTTATCACATATGTGAGGGTCTTGTAAAGGTAAAAAGAAAGTTAAAACGCATACATTAGATTTCATGGTGCTCACATGGAATAACTGTTTATGTCACACACTTCACAGAGAATTAATGTATGTAAAGACAGAGTTACATCAGGTTTACATCAGTTTATGTGCAAAGAAAGTTATCATATCTGTTACATACTTTACACAAAAAATCAAAAAGCAAAAAGCTATGTGATTTATAGTTCCCATGCTCATTCCAAAAAAATGAGAGCAAAGTTCTAGATTTGATGCAAAAAAA